TGATCTTTAGACAAGTTCAAGAAGATTTATAAAAATTTCCTTCTTAAACATAATTTTGTCAATGGCAAAGACGTCAATCAGATGTCATGTTTAAACTGTCATAATCTCACTGGAAAGATTGTCTTAGATGCGCTGCGACATACATATATTGCAAGAGAAAGATTATGTCTTGTTGTTTTGAGCCTTAGCTGTCGAAAACCAGAAGAGAAATTGCGACGGTAAGGTGTCCGTCCGTCTTGCTATCAGTCGGTCTGTCTATTTGTCTGTTTGTATACAATTTTTCAAACCCTACAGTTTTGATCCGATTTCAATACAATTTGGCAAACTAGAAGACTATACTAAGATAATTAATTCTTTAATCAATTTTTGATGTCGACAATAGTTGTTGCCATTGTTACTAAAAATAAAACGTGAAATCCTTTCAAAATGTTATTCCTATTGTTTCAATAGAACTTAAAACACAACTAGACTACACAAAAGATACATTATTCTTTTTATTGGTCTTTGATTTAGGTAATTGATGTTGCCATGAGTACTAAGTACTCTGTGAAAGGCCGTCAGAAAGGGGGAGGGGGTGCAATCGCACATCTCTTTACAAGTAACTCGAAAATAACTTATTTTTTGAAACGAAATAATTATTTATCTGATTGATTGATTGTATCTTGTTTTACGTCCCATTCGAGAATTTTCACTCATATAGAGACGTCACCATATACCGGTGAAAGGCTTCAAATTAAGACCTTTACTCGGCACTGAGGGCCATTGAGCAGTGAGGGATCTTTATCGTGCCAACGCCTGCCGTGACACGGAGCCTCGGTTTTTAAGGTCTCATCCGAAGGACCCGCAACTTTCACTTGAAAGTGCCGAGCGCCTTAAATTTGCTTTCTTTCATTTCTATTCTGACATTTCTTGATTATAGTTTATCTATTATTAATTTACTAGAAAATTCTCGCTTTTCTTATATAATAAGGATTTGTTTTAGTTTGTAAGCGAATGACTTATTGTATGTCGTTTAACGTCCCATTCGAGAATTTTTCACTCATATAGAGATATCACCGTATACTGGTGAAGGGCTTCAAATCTATACTCAGCACTCAGAGCCATTGAGCATTGATGATTTTTTATGGTGCCAACGCCTACCGTGTCACAAGACCTCGGTTTTTAAGGTTCTCATCTGAGACCTGTGGCGAAGGAACAGTCACAACCTATGTTTACGTCTTACATGTAGGATTGAGACAGCAAACGAGAATCAAACCTGGGCCTCCCGATCACGAACCGAACGCCCTACCACTAGGCTACCGTATTTCAGTTTGTAAATGTGCAAGGATGTGTATTGATCAAACGCCCTGAATTCGCAATTTTTAAAATAAATTTCAGATAAACAGATAAAACACGCTTTTATCGTCTATCGTTCTGAAATGCTCTCGCAACATGTAAGACATGGAATTCTACTTTTGATGGTTATAAACTTTAAAACTGTGCCCATGCCCTTGTAAAAGCATCTTCTTGCCAAGAGGAATCAAGTTGATAAATCTCATTCCCCTGTCATGTCAGAGCCTATTAAAGAAAATTCTAAAATATTTTCAGGTAAATATGAAGATATCTCGATCTACTCAAATTATAATTGGGGTGGGGAGGGGGTAGTCCTAAATATCTGACGTTTTCCTGGCTTTTTAACGATTTTGATATTTTACGTGCCAGGAAAACGTCAGAACCGGCGCCATTACGAAAACTGGAAATTTCGCCGTCTCCAATCGGAGTTAATTTTCCATACCTGAGAACCGAATTAAATGCCGTTGTCACAATTTATCAATAGCACAATGCTTCTAGTACTCGACAATATCGATGAAAAGAAAACACTCATCATTTCGATAGAGGACTTGAAAAATTTTAAAATGCACGAAATGAAAACAAATCTCGACAGTCAGATAAAATGTTTCCATCGGATTGTATATTTAATAAACAAACCATAAAAACGATGTTGGTGAGTACTAGAAGCATTGTACTATTGATAAATTGTGAGCTTGACATTTCATTCGCTTTGCAAGTATCGAAAATCAACCCGAGAATGCCGGTACGGAGAAGCGGCGGCGAATTCCCAGTTTTCGTAATCGAGCCGGTTCTGACTTTTTCCTGGCACGTAAAATACCAAAATCGTAAAAAAGCCAGGAAAACGTCAGATATTTCGGACTAGGGAGGGAGTGTAGGAAAATACACTTTCCTAAGGCGTCAATTTCCTTCAAATGCGTGATTCTCCATACCGTTTTCAAAGGGGTCCGTGTCATTCTCATTCCTTACTTTAACATAGATATTCAATAACTCTGAAAATTCCGGAGGGGGGGGGGGGTCTAAATCCGCTCCTTCGGGGGTTGGATACGTGGAATTCTATTTAGTCCATAACTACATACGGGAAAAAATGTTAGCTCATACTTAGCATTCATTTAAGTTCCAATATGGGCGAAATTAATTGTTCGTTTTGCATTAACGTCTTTTATATCCTTTCCGCCTCCCATAGACCAGACAAGAACTCAAATTTCTAATCCCTCTGACTTCAACTTTGTCCAGAATACCGTGGAGAAGGTTCGAGACATGCGCAGAAATCAAACACTTGTGCCAAGTATGAGCTGATGAAGTTTCTCCATTATATTTAGGTGGTGTGTCTTTGCACTAATCTATGTTCAATGAGACAAGGAAAAGGTCGCATGAATTGAAAATAAAATCTTTTGTCCATTAACTTTGAAATGGAGAAACACTGGAAGTTTACACTTGATATAAAGTACAATGTAGGCCAGGTTAAGTCATATGACACTGACAGGTCAAGATTTAGCAATTTTGTCGTGTATTATAAGAAGATGGTTGGTGTCTAAGGAGTAGATCAAGATGCTCCTGAAAATGAGGTGACCAGCAAAACACATACATCTCTTGTTCAGTTTAGAATGAAAAAGGTGAAAATAACAAACAGTGATCAATCTAAACAATACATATCTGTGTGCAGGGCATAAAACATGGACCCCTGGAAATTCCAGAAGTGGGATCAGGTGCCTAAGAGGAGTAAACATCTCCTAATAGAAGTAATGTGAAGCTTTTACAAAATATGAAACATTTCACAATACATACATTGTAAATTGGCAAATCAGAAATGAAATGCCATGTTCTGAGGTATCTTCCAATGCTATAATTTCTTTGTATTCAATTAATCATGATAAACAACAGATATTATTCTGAGAATTGTGATGTCTATAATTTCATACAGAAGAAAAACTCAATTTTAGGTAAAACGTCTTTAATCCTTAAAATAACTGAACAAAAACAAAAATTAAATTGACTTTAAAAAAGCATAATGATAAAACAGCTTAAAATAGATGTATGCAGTCATAGTATTTAAAAGGCAAATGCTAGTAAAACACATATTACTAGTTACTGTGGAATCATTTAAATTCGTGGGGGTAAATGTTCGTGGGCAAGCAAAATTTTATTGGTTCGTGGGGATGTAATTTCGTGAGCAGCTCGTTTATTTGGTAGATTTTATTAATCAGTATACGTTGACAAAATAATTGTTTGTGGGGATGTAAATTCTTGGGTAAGGGTTACCCACAAAACCCACGAACATTGATCCCCCACGAACAATGATGATTCCACAGTATACTAGTTTTCGTATTTTTAAAATTGTACTCCTCGATCTTGACATGATTCAAATGTCCAACAACATATGCAGAAATCCCTTTTTGACGACATAAAATCCTCTTTACAGTATAGATTGGCTGAAAATTCAATCATCATATACACTTTACATGTATATCTAAAAGATTTGAAGAATGCATCCCTCTCTGTACTTAAAAAAGAAAAAAATCAATGCTTTCTGCAAAATAAATGTACAAAGACTACAAGACTTTATTACATGAATACAGCTGCCTGTAAGAGCTAAAAATAATCAAAAGAATATAAGACTTACTCATTTCTTTTAATGATAAATGGTTAGGATTTACAGAATAACAAATGCTCATGCTGCACCATTTTTTTAAAAAGAAATTTTCATATGATTGGCAAGCTTTTTTCTTTAAAAAAAGTTTATTTTAATATCCCTTTAATAATCAACACATATTAGGCTGCACAAATGATGATAAAAACACATAAAGACTGCTTATTTTTTTAACAATTGTTAAAATAAGATATCTCTGAAGAAAATTTTTCAAAAAGAAAGGCTCCCAATGTTCAAAAGAAATCATTTGGGCAAGTTACATGAATTGTATTCCAGAAATATCTAAAATTTAATTCTGCCTTCAAATTTTTTATCTTATCTTTGCATATTAAAACTTTTACTCTGTTTGCCTCGAATATGCCCAGAAGCATAGAAGATTTTCAAAGAAATGCATTTTCACCATATTATTAAATAAATAAAGTCCCACCCTTACACAAGAACATCTGACTCAGGGGCCATAAACTCACAATTCTGGAAGAAGCACCCTTGCTCATCATAATTATACACTTGTTTCTTTTGCTTTACAACCAGTAGTAGAAAAAAATATTTTGAAAGAAATTATGCATTTTCACTATATAATTAATAGAGTCCCCCCCCCCCCCTTTCACCAGAAACCCTGACCCAGTGGCCATGAATTTCACAATTTTGGAAGAGGCATTCTTCCTTATCATAACCATGCACTTCTTTTGTTTGAATAATACCCAGGAGCAAAGAAGAAGATTTCGAAAGAATTTATGCATTTTCCCTATATAATCGATAGAGCCCCGCCCTAACACCAGAACCCCTGACCCTGCGGCCATGAAATTCACAATTTTGGAAGAGGCAGCCATGCTCATCATAACTATGAACTTCTTTTAATGATAAATGGTTAGGATTTACAGAATAACAAATGCTCATGCTGCACCATTTTTTTAAAAAGAAATTTTCATATGATTGGCAAGCTTTTTTCTTTAAAAAAAGTTTATTTTAATATCCCTTTAATAATCAACACATATTAGGCTGCACAAATGATGATAAAAACACATAAAGACTGCTTATTTTTTTAACAATTGTTAAAATAAGATATCTCTGAAGAAAATTTTTCAAAAAGAAAGGCTCCCAATGTTCAAAAGAAATCATTTGGGCAAGTAACATGTATTGTATTCCAGAAATATCTAAAATAACTGTAAAACTAGAAAACACTAGTAAACAAAGTAAATATTAAAAGTAAATAACAGTAAACATCCAGCTAGACTTCCCTGAGTATTATAAAACTACAAAATGGTCAAGAAGCTTTTGGCATGTTTTCATCATATCTCTTGAAGAACAAAATTCTTCACATGTAAGGGAACACAATACTGATGAAGTATCAAAATGTAACCTGACTGGGAATATCAGCCTTCATCTCCCGCCTGTTGCTGCAGAGATTTTAATTCTGCCTTCAAATTGTTTATCTTATCTCGAAATTCCTCTTCTTCTTCTAGAATGATCAAATGTCTTAGTTCCTGTAAACATAAAAATATATAGTGTAATATACAATGGAATCCTTCCGTTCAAAAAAAAAAAATAGCAAAGAAATCTCAGGCTTCATGTGAAATTGCAGATACAGTCACATACTTTCTCTTTATTGACAAAAATATTCCCATACTATAATTATCATAGTATGGGGATATTTTTATCAATAAAGAGAAAGGCTGAAAACATCAAGTGCCTGTGGATACAGTTTATGATACACATTTGCAGGTAAATTGCTTTACAAATTTTAACTTTATATCTTTATATGAGATGTTACTTTACTGGTTTAGTAATGGTCTAAAGTAAAGAAACTCTTTGACTCCCTACATTTCTCTTGAGTTTTATACGATTTTTCAGTTATGATATTTGCTGTTTTCTAAACATATTCAACGTTTTATTTGAGGGAGACTAAAACAAAAGGAAGACTAGAATTTTGAAACAACCTGTCAAATTAAACTTTAAGTATGTGTAGCCATAGCTTGAATATTCATTAAAATCAAAACTAATAAAGAGAATGATGTACATTTTAATTACATCATCTGTAGCCATCATCTTACTGATATCACTTCAAACCTGAATGGGTTTTTTGAGAAATGTTCAACAAAATATTCTATAATATACAGTGTACATGAAAATAATCATGTCAGCATTGAAAATAATCATGTTAACATTGTCATACAAAATCAAAATTCATTTTGTATGCATGTCTTTTTTATGTACTCTAGCTGTTATAAACCAAGTTTAAGAAATGATACCAAAAACAACCAGAATGATGGATGACAGTTTACCATCCCTGAAGCTCTTCTAAAGCTTTATAAATTTACTTTAACGCTATACTGGACAAACAGACTTAGATTATTGCAGCAGCCTTAAGAGATTAGATATTATTAACTAGTATGTAAATGTATATGTATATACATGTATTATAAACTTTGTACAAGATAGACACTGTGCATTTGCAAGATCCAATTCTTTGTATACAATTACAGGATAAAGAGTGAAATTACTCTCTGTGGGGCTAAATAAAGCATTGATGTGGCTGAATAAACAAAGATTATGTGCCAGACTCAAATCCTAGTGGTACAAAGTATAATCTAGCTGGATAGACAATGATGTTGTGCCAGACTCAAACCTTGCAAAGTATAATCTAACTGGATAAACAGTGATGTTGTGCCAGACTCAAACCCTGCAAAGTATAATCTAACTGGATAGAGACAATGATGTGGTACCAGACCAAAACATATATTGTATAATCTAACTGGTTACACAATGGTGTAGTGCTAGACCCAAAACCTATCAGTATACCTAGTGATGTTGTGCCAGACCCAAACTCTAGTGGTATAACTAACTGGATATACAGTGATGTTGTGCCAGACCCAAACTCAAGTGGTATAACTAATTGGATATACAGTGATGGTTGTGCCAGACCCAAACTACAGTATAACTAACTGGATATACAGTGATGGTTGTGCCAGACCCAAACTCAAGTGGTATAACTAACTGGATATACAGTGATGTTGTGCCAGACCCAAACTCAAGTGGTATAACTAATTGGATATACAGTGATGGTTGTGCCAGACCCAAATTCTAGTGGTTTAAGTAACTGGATATACAGTGATGTTTGTGCCAGACCCAAACTCTAGTGGTATAACTAACTGGATATACAGTGATGTTGTGCCAGACCCAAACTCAAGTGGTATAACTAACTGGATATACAGTGATGTTGTGCCAGACCCAAACTCTAGGATATAACTAACTGGATATATAATAATGTTGTGCCAGACCCAAACTCTAGTGGTATAACTAACTGGATATACAATGATGTTGTGCCAGACCCAAACTCTAGTTGTGTAATCTGACTGAATAGACAATGATGTTGTGCCAGACCCAATCTCTAGTGGTATAACTAACTGGGTATACAGTATGTTGTGCCAGACCCTAACCCTAGTTGTATAATCTAACTGAATAGACAGTTAGTATGTATTAACTTACCTGGATAGACAGGGAAGTTGTACGGGACCCAAACCTGTAGTAACAATCCTCCTCGGGTGTCACTGTGTAAAAGGTGCCTTTTGATGGAGTAAGAACTATCTCTGTAAAAGTGTTGAGATTTCATTTGAATAAAACAGTGCAATATCATGTATATATTTGTAATAAAATAACTATTCTATATTGCATAGTCAAGAACATTTGTATATATTTTTCAAAATAAATTAACTTTCAGAGCTTTTATTCCCCCCTTTTTTTTACTCAATCAACAACTAGTTTATAAAACTGCTAGTAAATTAACTTCTAAATAACTTCTAAATACTGTAAATTAACTTCTAAATACTGTGAAATTACTTATTTTCATGGGGTTTATGTTAATTTCTTGGTGTGTAGATACCACAAATTCATGTCCCCCACAAAATGTGAGAGGAGCAAGATTCATTAAGAGCCTTTTTTTGCCTTGTGGATGTCTGAAAGATCAACTCTGCTTAATTTCAGTTCTACTTAGAATATCACTTGAACGCTTGGTGACAGCATATCAATTAAAAGTGAAGAAATTTTCTCACTAGTCGATGCATTATGAAATATGAATTGCATCACTTTTCAAGATTCTGAAAATTTATTTATACATGACTTATATTTCAAGCTGGATTTCAATATTCTGTATAAAGCACAACAAGTGATCCAAAATGTACAATTATATATTGATAGAACTGTTACTCAAAATTATAAAACATATTTTTAAAAAATTTTTTGAATCAAGAAATGTGATCACTATTTTAATTTTATCTTGAAGGTAGTCAAAAAATAAGCCTGTTTTCTGCGATTTCACGTAACCTGTTTTCCAATACCTTGACTCACAGATGAAACTTTCTATAGGAAATCAAAGCATGGGGTCTCTAGTTTATACTGTTTGAAATGAGACATAGGACGACTGTCAATTAATAGGTAAAGGGCCAGGACATTTATAGCTCTTTCAAACTACAATAACATGTTCAAATCCCCTTGAACCATTACTTTTTTCCTCAAACCGTGAAAATTTGACCCCACGAAAATAAGTGATTTTACAGTAAATGGTAACACATTTAATAACATTTTGTTCTATCACATTATATTATACAGTCCCTGAAACGTTCTACTTTCCCACTTGAACGGTGAGCGAACGCTGAACGAACGGTGAACGAACGCTGAACGAACGCAGAGCGAACGGTGAGTGAACGATGTGTGAACGCTGAAAGCAACTTGGTGAACGATGTGTGAACGCTGAACGGTGAGCGAACGCAGAACGCGAACGGAGCGCAAACGCGAACGCAATGTGAACGGTGAACGAACGGTGAACGCAAGATGAACGATATATTCGGAATGCCTCTGATCTTTTCCTTGCATTGAAACCATTTTATTGTGTTATAATGTCAGGTGCCAAAAAAAAAAATAATAATAATAATAATAAATAAGTAAACAAATTAATGAATGAATAAATAAGTCAATAAAATAAATTCTCCAAAATTGTCCTAAGAAAGACGATGCATGCACATTAAGTTTTTAATCACACGATTATTGTCGCATTAAAACATTGCAATTGTTGCCGAACGCTGAAGTATAAAGGATATTGTTTTTAGTTGGAAAATAAAAATGTTTATTCTTATTTGATAACAAATCAGAGAAAATTTATGATTTATAGAATGAATTAAAGCGGTTGTAACTTATATTCATATATATATCTCCGTGTCAAGGCGATTTCGTGTAAAGTAATGAAAAAAAAATTAATTACATTTATACGCTCGTATTTTAGATTTTTAATACAATAATATATTATGTGTCATTTCTATTTTTCATTATGATTTATTGAGCAGACGTCTACATGTATCTCTAGATGGCCGTGATTATACATGTAGTCGGACAAGATGATACAAAGATACATATTCATATTATTTGTTATAAATTCAATTTTCAGAACATGATATTTAAGTAATATGGTGTTATAGTTTTTATTAAACAGACAAATGAGAGAGAGAGAGAGAGAGAGAGAGAGAGAGAGAGAGTACTATTCAGTTTTAGCCCCCCCCCTCCTTTCAGGCTTCACCAAATGTTTGTACCTATATCAAACAAAAACTTTGAATTTTTTTCTAAATATATCAGACAGTGAAAGTAACTTTTTTTTTTTATCAACAAATCATATCCATTTGTTTGACAGTCATACTCGTTTTTATTTTCCTGCTTCAAGTTCACACGAAGTCCACGTGCTTGTCCTGTCAATCAAAATCATTCGACACTGTGCAGGTGTGAAAGTTTCGTCACATCGAAGACGAAGTGCGTGTATTTCGAACAAGTTATAACATTTATTTTTATCATTTCTAGATTTGATTCCAACATTTGAATAATAAATTAGTAAAATACATTGGGCATTAACACTTGAATGTGAAACATACTCTCTGCCAATTTCAAATACCACCGCCGACACGTGTACATTTTGATCTACTATTGTTTTGTGACTTTTTTAGATGCATGTTTGTTTTGAGACTGAAATTTTTGTTCTAAAAAAGACCGTAGCTTTTTTTTTTAAATGTTAATTAAAATATTCTGGAAATACGGTACTGACTAAGTCATCGATGTAGGGGGGAAGGGGGGGGGTATTAATCATATCGAATGGCAAACATATAAAGTTACGGTGAAGAAGGATTTTTTTCTCTATAACTATAGACTTTACATATTACAGTAGAGAAATTCTGTAGTGCATTACATTTTAAATAAATATTTCCTGTAACCACACTATCATTTTAATTCGTTCTAAAGATAATAAATTAACAGGATATCCGCAGTACTATGTATAACTCTCAGAACTAGTTCTATTATATTTTCTGTTGTAATTGAAAAAAAAACGTAATAGAAATAAATATTTTCGTAATTTTGCTGCGTAATTATTTGACTTGAATAATTATATCTCCATTAACGATTTGTCTTCTTTAACAAAACAACAAAATGTTGCAGTGCTTGAAGTATTTGCACATTGCCCTTAGTTAAATTTAATATTTCAGCATCGTTCTACATAGGTACAGAAAGTGCTTGTAACAACATTTATTTTCCAGAGTAATTTAATAAATAACCTAACAGCTAAGTTAGAATAATAAAAATATATATCGTAGATATTTTCCTCGTGAAATAATGATTCTTCAAACACGATATGTTAGTTAATAAATTAAAAAAACCTGTAACTCCTTAACTACAAAAAGATAAGTCCTTTCACTTCGGAGTTCCGAATGACAATGAAAACTGAACAATAGGTGAACGCTGAACGCAAGGTGAACGCAAAGTAAACGGAACGAAGAGCGAACGCTGAACGCTTTGTGAACGGTGAACGCGAGCGCACGGTGAACGGTGAACGCAAAACTGTGAACGGTGAACGCACGCTGAACGAACGGTGAACGAACGGTGAGCGAACGGAAAAATGGGAAAGTAGAACGTTTCAGGGACTGTACAAGTACATCATCATAGTCCTTACTTCCAACAAACAGGTCTGGAATGTTCGTTAAGTCTTGTGACCCATCATCCTCAGCTTCCAGCCTTTGTACAACAGGTGTATAAACCACGTCAAAGCAGGAATGGAGAAGACAGGGTCGGAGACGATCTGTCATCATCCTGTCTACGCCGATACGAAACTCGTCCCGATCATCACGGGTAAAGTTCATCCCTATAACCTTTCCAGTGGGAGATAATCCAAAATATATGTTGCCTCCTTTTCCTTTGATGACAGAAAAATATGCTCATTATCTATCATTCATGTTATTCTTTTCAGATTTAAAATATTGCCATCTTCTCACTTTTTTAACAGCATTATCAAAAGTCCAAAATAAGTGTTGAAGTTAATACTGTACAATTTTTTTCCTTCACATTTACTCCGTGAATTTCACATTTGAATTTTTACACAGCTATTCCTTGCATAGTTTGTGTATGATACTTATTTTAACAGGCACAAGAAACAAAGACTTGTTCAAGACAACAAACTTATTTAAATTACTAGTTACATGTTTTGTGAAACATGCCAAGATACGAAAACCTGTACTGTAGTGATTAATATTAGTTAGGTCTGTAAAATTAAATAATTTTGATATTTTACCACTTGAAATTTTATTTTACCACTAGAAATTTGATATTTTACCACTATTCAGCATTCCACAAACATGTTGAACAACTGTGTTCACAGAAATAGTTTGGATGGTCTTGTTTGGCCTTAGTTCATTAGTAGAGTTGTTCTGAATGGGCACAACAGAGTCTAAAGATTATAAAAAAAATTGTAAATACATGAATCAAAATAAGAATTCAGTATGAAATATTTATTTAGCACTTGCTTGTTCATTTATTTACAGTAAAAAATCCATATCTTGAACAAGATGGACTCTCAGAAACTTCAAATTATTAGAAGGTTCAAGATATTAAAGTTAAAATTCAAATTCATAAGTTTGGGACTGTTCATAAATTCCTGGTGTTCAATATATCAGTGTTCAAGAAACCAAGTACAACTCTAGTTCACAAAAATAGTGTGTACCCACCTAATACAAACACCTCTTTCTGTTGAGAACTTCTATACACATCAGCTACATCTACTGCCACTGCAGGTCTATCTACAATACAGTTGAAACTGCTAAAAAAAAAAGTCAACTTACACAGTAAATAGAGAGCACATGTAAGTACCAAGTACACTATTGCTGATGTGAAATGATATTCTTGCTTGGTATTATTGTCCAATGTTAGGAGTCATCTGTAAAACATAAGAGCACTAACCTGCAGACATTTGGGCTTGTTCCTTCAGCTGAGAACTGAACAAAGAGACTGGGTGGTTTGTAAGTTCATCATCACTGCTCTCAACCTGTTCACCAAAGCATAAACATTTGAATTTATATGTTAAAAAAAATACTTCATCCTATATATATATTTTACCTTTAATATCTGCAAATTAACCAAATTACTTCAAGTTACAAAAGAATAACAGGTAGCAGGCTGTGGATATAGTACATGTACTATGTACAGTGTATCTAAACCCTCATTTTAATTTTCCGAGAAGGATATAAAATATGAGGGTTGTCCAAAATGTTTGTGGACATAAGGTTTTTTAAAGAACTGAAATCAACAGTTGAAATTAAAACCAAAATATTTTGGATGAATTTCTAATCGAGCATGGCATAGTTTTATGTCAGAGACAAAAAAATGCATGAACAGTCTTTGAAATTTTCTAAAATTAAGCAAATATTAATCTCTGACATTCAAAAGGCATAAAACATTTTTCAGACTGTTAAGAGAGCTTTAAAAACATAGAAAAAAATTGGAGGACTCTGGATGTGTACAACAAAACTTCATACAATATGTTTTATGGCTACAGATAATATTATACATTTAGATAGGTGCCTTTCAGTAAGAAAAGTTGCATCAGCTTGTGGGATCCCCAGGAGCCAAACCCCAAACACCTCCGTCACTTCTGTGATTGGGTGTCTGCAGTGCATTTGGCCCCTAGGGTGGGAATTGACTATTTTTACTGGGCTTAAGGACACGTAACGTAGTTTGAACTTTATTGTCTTTTTTATTGGAGTTGTCAGTTGAAGAGTTCCAATACTTGAAGGAACTGTGTGCTACATTTTAATGTCTATATATGCTGTTGTACACTTCTTCTAAAAAAAGTTCGGATAAACAAAACATCTAGAATATATGTAAAGTAATTTTTGTATATTTTTCTTTCAATTATACAAGAATTTTCATCAATCTTTTCAAAACCCCTGGTAATACTTGCTGATTTTTTGTCTTCGAACATCTGATGGCACTATATTCTTAAATTAAGAATGTCTTGAAAAATTATCAGCAGGTAAGGTATGTTGCGTATGTCCTTAACACAGTATATGCTACTAATTTACTAAATACTATATTCACAGTATCAGGTTATGCATCCTTTTTTGTTAACACATGTATGAAATTTTGACCTGTATTTAGGTCATCAAATAATTTTATTTGTTTCTCTGATTTTGAACATACTTGAATAAATGTCCATAAACGTTTGAAGAAATCCTCATAAATGTAAATGTACACAATGAAGCTGAATTCCATAAATATATTATCAAACCTCCTGAAATCTGGACTCATCCACAACTTTCTCTATAGCTTTTGGTTTCCATATAAATTTGTCATTTTCATCCTTTTCTTCAAGAACTTTTGACATAACCCTAGAATGATTTAATTTCTAATATACAAAATGTAAATCATGAGAACCAGAATAAAAAAGAAACTAAATAAGCATTGTAGTGTTCATAAATGATTTTCTCAAACAAAATACATCAATATGAAAAATCAATTTAACAAAAAATCAAAACATTAATTCTTACAGTGGGGTGTCCCGACTTATTTTGGATTTCTCTCCTTTCCCAAAGCTCGATTTTTTCTTTTTCTTTATTGCATCATCCTTTGTGTTCCTCTCCAAGGCCTTACAGATAAACATCTTGATGCATTTGGTAGCTGCCTTGTATACACTATGGTTTCTATCTTTCAGCAAAGAGACCTTTAACACAGCTTCCATACCTAGATATAAAACAATTAATGTTGTTCCAGCTAGACTTCCTCAATTTTGCACATTTTTGACATCTAGAGAATTCTCATAAAATTGCTGAAGTGTCTTTGACACATTCTGTTTAAAGTGTTTACCTTGGTATTGGTAAAATATGGACCTGTTAACATCATTAAAATGCATCAGATTGGACAAGGTTCTGAGACAGGCCAACAAGAGTTCATTCTTCTGAGTTGAAGGTTTCATTTCAAAGTACTCCTGTAAACAGTCTATCAAAAGAAACACATCAAGATGGTACCTATTTCTTTTTGCCTGTATTACTTGATATTGCATATATCAAATCTATTAGCCACATTTTAATTTTTTTGTGCCTTTAATTTTTATTTGTGAAGAGGTTTCAATTATAAAGAACGAAACATCTTATCAGTGATTATAATTACATGCAAATATTTGTCATGTAGCAGCATATGTCATCATTATAATTTACACATTTCAAACACAACAAACTACTATAATTTTCAAATGAGACAATTTTACAGTATATTTGCAAAACACGCTTTAATACAAGATTTGTTGACTTTATGTTTTTACAAAACAGGATCATTACTATCAGTAGCCACTTCACTGACCATTAAAACTAAGTTTGATAATCAATGCATTACTTTTTTCCCCCTAATTCATATCTCAATTCACAGCTTTCATATCAAAGAAATGGACTTTTCTTCTTACCAATCATAACAGGAATAAACTGGTTCTCTGAACATTTGCTGGAGATGGCAGGGTTACAGGAGAGGTTGCACAGTAATTGACAGGTCTGTAGTTTTAAATCCACATTAGGACAGGTCTTCAGGAAAGATAAACACACATCTAATCCACCCAATTGCTGAAGCAGGTGCCCTTTAATAAATATAGTAATAATTTAAATTTACAACCAAAACTATACTTTGTCAATAGAGAAGGATACATCTTCTATTTACACCAACCATAAACAAGTAAAACAAATATGGATACATTTTATCACATATCAAGTATATTTGGTAGATACATATCACCAATAATTTGATATCATATATATGGTAATAGTTTAATAGCATATCCAATTGTTTTTCTTGATAGCAGCTCTTTAGAGGTATCATAGGAAAACACTTCAATGCAACACTGACATCGTTGGAAGCCCAAGGTCAATCCCACATACCTTTATTGACTGGTTAATCAGCATATGTGAGATTGACTGTGGGTTTCCGACGATGCAACACTTGATGCACAATGGGAAACAAATGAAATGTTAATATAATAGGCAGGATTGTCCCTAAGACCCGGGGGGCCAGGGAATTAACCCGCCTATAATGACACATTTCTGGTATTCCCCCTCAACCCCCTGTTAGGGGAGGAACCCCAGACCCCTTCTACTCTTTTAATGTCCCCTGCTATTTCAATTCTTAGGGACAACCCTGATAGGATTAACACAACAATTTCTCTGGTACTAATTCTCACCATTTCAATTCACTATTTTCAAAATATCAAACAATACCCTCTCTACATGTACTATAATATATTAAAGATGTATCATATACAAAACCATGCTAAAGCATGCATAAAAGAATTAGATCTGCACAACAACTTGTTATAAATTTTTCGCTAACTGGTGGTATACCTGATGGAAAGGACCGTTTGACTAGGTTACACAGTATGGATAGTCCAGTCCCAACAGCTGATTCACTACATGGGGGCATCTGTAGGCCTATCAAAGAATGGGAAAAATCAGCATATATTTACAATCTCCCAGCCTGACACTGAATACAAGTTTTTAAAGCTTAACTAATGACGAAATCCATACCATCAATACAACATAGAGAAGCTTGTGGAGGAAAAACATCCAGTCGAACCTCACATGGTAAAACAAAAACATTCTTCTTGTCAACAGTTATGATCTGTCCAAAATCAAGCGCCCATGCATGAACTCCCCTTGTGTTCACTTCCTTCACTGAGACTCGAATTGGAGAAACCTCATTGTTGATGACCTGTAGGACCACTACCGTGTCCCCCTTTTTGCACTTGTAATTTTCTAGTGCTCCATTTTTCCAGTACACATTCAATATGGCTTGGATCTTCTGGGCATTCTGAATGGTCTCTATCCCAGTCTGTGCCCAGAAAACTGGTCCTTCTACAACATGGGTGATTAATATGTCTTTCCAATCCCCCTCGTCATCTGTAAGTGAAATGATTTACAATTAACACTAAACATATTAAAAGATAAACAGATAAAGGTCAGAAATTGAAAACATTCATAACTTACAATCACTGACTTAAATTATTTAATATGATACTTTTTAAATCACAAAATGTTTTGATTTACAAATTTAAATTTCTTAATGAAATCCTTAAAATAAAATTATTTTACAAATTCAATCAAAACAAAAAAGTATGTTTATTTTTGAAAAATGTGAAATGCTTTGTGCATAATACTTGTACATAAAATTTCTTTTTTTTCATTGACTTCATTTAAAAAAAATCATTTATTGACTTAAATATGATAAATGTAAGAAATACATGAAAATTAAAACAATCTGGACCTGTGTCAGTGTCACACATCTTTGATCCATAACATTGATTCATACATCACACATCCTTAATGTAAGTATTGGAACTTAAAGATTGCTTCTTAACTTACTTAATTTTTTTGAAACCAAACATGAAGGAAAGGTATCTAACCTGTCTTGCTAGGTCTGACTGATTTTGTATCAGCCCAGGCTAAGTTCCTACTTAGAAGATGTTCTCTGATGTTAAGCCCTCCTTCATAACCTCCAGAATCAACAATGTCACACACATACACAATCTCTGGCAGACTAAGAATGGATGTCACCTGATCTTTGCTTGTCCTATATACTCTATCCCATTGATCAGCATTCATGTTAGTTCCATGAACTCTACCAACCAAATGTTTATTTTCACACACCTTCTGAAGATTTAGTTTTACACTGGGTAAGTAATGGTAGAAGGCACCTTTTTGGTCAATTAGCTGTATCATTCTTTTTATCACTTGCTCACAGATTAGTGGTTGGACTGGACTTACAGGAAGCTCTGAGAGGAAGAAAATGCAATTCAAAGACACATCAAGATACACCAGGTCTCTGGGGTTGTCCATGCCCTTGTCAAAAGTCAATAGCAATGGTTCCAAGATTCCATTCTGCAAAAATGACAGTTTGACCTCACCCTTGGGGTCATTTTTGAGAAATTCTTGCAGGAGTGTTAATCCTGCTAGTTTCAGCATGCTATGTTCCTCCATTGCTGCTAATGACATTAAGTTCTTTAACAGTTTGTACGGCACTTCCACATTTAGATCAGCCATGCTTGTGTCCTTTTTTAATTAACTTGATTCATTAAAATCTGAAATGCTAAACAATAATCATGAAATTAATCACTTGTAATTTTATAAGTGTAAATTTAAGACTGCCTCTAGATTACCAATATCCTAAATCAAAGATTTCCAAGATTTCATGCAACCCTCAAGTTATCAAAAGCAAAGTCTCTCTGGATGCCATAGTAAGTTTACAAAAATCACAGTGACAAAGGACTACATTGATCCAGCTGACTCTGAAATTGTCAAATTTACATTTTATTCAGTCCTTGGACCCCTGCCCACATGAATCAATTCCCAACATGATTCAACCCTACCCTGATACTTCATAAAAAGACTCTGGGTGAAGAAATTGAACTTTAGTAACTTTAATTGGGTTTTTTCTCTTAATTCATATACTGCAATCAGTTTCACAGTAAAATTTCATAAAGCCTAGACTGTAGAGGAGTGCCACTCACTGAAAAAAAAGTGTATATTTCTTGCAGACAAAAATGTACGCTATTTCTCAATTTATTTCCCCGTTTATTTAAACTGCAATCTCAAAACATTACCAACCATGTATTCTTAACATATTCTTTCACTATTTCCACATCAAAATATTTCCTGTAACCATCCTTAATAGACCTCCTGGACCTGAAATTGGGACCATCCAAAATTTCGATTATATATACTGCCCTTTTGGGTGGCAAGACAATTCCGTCCAATGCGCTTTGTGCAGATGTCAGCTACAAGAGTAGTTGATAGAGGTCTAAGAATTTTTTTGAAATTGAGTTTTTGTTGTAGCTGAGGTAAGAATTTTGAGAAATAAATCCAGAACCGAGCGCAGCTTTTTGTGTGCAATAAATATACAGTTTTTTTCTATGACAGCACTGTACCATGTGGCACTGTAGCTATCCAATCTGTCAATATTTTTTCCTTGAGAGCTTAAAACAGTTCTGCAGGTTGCAACTTAAATGGGTGGGATTTTCAATCAAGGGCTGCATTTGCTATTTGTTTGATCTAATTTCGGACATCTGTGATTAAGGCAAGGCATGTTTTGGGGCGAACGGACATTTTGAACTGTGGTTACACATGTTCGCTGTGCAATCAACTGACTAACAGTTCCTGCGATACATAGGTAGCTAAACACAGTTTCGTATAAAATCCAGGGGTTTTCCTCAGAGAAAAGCATGATGGGTAGGGATTTCCCTGTTATTTTTATGCAGTGTACATGAAAATTGCAGCTTTTTTATTTTTATTTGCATATAGTAGAATCTTATCTTAAGATTAAATGAAAAAAGTGTACAAATATTTTTTGAGAATTATTTTTTGTGTGACTTTTTAATAGTGGGAGATAACTCTAAAATCACCCATTTTTCACATGTGCAGAATTGCATGATATGAGTAGCAGGTAAAGTAGCTCTTTAAAAAGCTGGAAAATGTACCCTAAAAGTACAACAAAAAGAAACCTAAGGACTTGCTCTGTTAAATGCACAGCACTTATATTTTCTGATTTCTGCGCTGTTTGTGATCAAGGGAGCTAAAAATGCATAGGTGTACTACAATTAGACGCATAAACTTCCCTATTTCCCCCATGTTTCATGTGTCAAATACACCTTATTAGTAAGAGATAAATGCAATATATTTATATATTTATAAAATTCACAATTTTATCTTTCTATTGATATATAGAAGTCTATGTAGCAAGTCTTCATATTATTTCTTTATGGGGGTCACTTTAGCATGTCCCTCATTTAGTAACGTCATGATAACGTCATACATAAAACTGTGTTTTGCACCCATAGCAGACAGGCAGACATTAATCTGATAACATGGCAATAGTGAAGCGTATGTAAAAAGATGCGAATCTCCGCTATTATTTATGTCTCTGATTCTTCAACAAATATAAGTATATAATGTTAAATTTTTAAACTTTATATTTTACAAGTGCATTTATAATTATAGATCTACGAACAAATAAAATCTCACATTTCATCGTCATTTGTTGGAAAAGCGAAACGCCGAAACACGGCCGCGACGGCGAAAGGCAAAACTTCTGTGTTTTTGTGTTACTAATTTCATGAACTCCGATCCCGACTACAAATCAAATTGCTGGGGTTCCATCCCACATCGATTGACGAATTGCAAAAACAAAAAATTGTTTAAAGAAAAGATAATAGTGATAAAATTAAATACTGATGGCATTCAAAAAAATAAAATGCATTGAGAAATACGCATTTTTGTAACATGTACGTCGACTTCAAGAAATAACAGAGATCAATCCTACTAATTTATAAAAATCTTACTAAGTTTCCGACATTTTGAATGAAAATGTAGGTAAACTAGCATTGTAAGGACCTCCCCTTAAAGATCATCAACAACTTAAAATGCACCTATTTTGTATTTTACATTTAAATAAAATTATTGGAAGATACGTCAGAGAAACTATGATTTAGGTCTCTGGATACATGTAATTAAAAAAGGCGATTTTGCTACTCTTTCTCGTAAATGATATAATTATTAAATTTATACAAATAAATATAGGTAAATTTTCTGCAGAGCATTTTCTTTGAGATAGTCGGTCTTGGTGTCATGTACGACAACGTTTGGTAAAATGCACAAGAAAAACATGATTTCAACGCAACTTTAAAGACATTGGATGAAATATGTTATAAAGATTTTTTTAAACAGTTTGTAAAGGCTTTATTATTCTGAAATACATATTTATCAGGAATTCCCTATAATGCCATCTTTTTTTTTATTTTTTCCCAAATATATACTTTGATATTGTTATAGAAATTCAATGCAAAAAAAAAACATCATAGTGAAAAATTGATAGACCCCACCCATCCCCACGGTAATGTCCTTTTAATAACTAGGGATAATCTGATACTGATGTATTTCTTGTATTCACGATTGATATACATCGTTGCATGATCACAATATAGAAAATCTATTGTATTCACAGAAAAGTCCCACTTTATATCACAGGTGCTTGTGGACAGTCCCCCCTCCCCCGAATAAAGGATATTTTTATTCAGAGTAATTGAGGAAGTCTGCATGTTCATATGTAGAACTGAGGCTCCTTTGACCTCCCTCGATCCCAACCGCAAATTCAAAGATAGTATTGAATCTACAAATACATTCTAGACGGACGCTTCCACATTAAATAATACCATCCTAACACTTGATTGAGTAAGGCCTTGGTTTGAACAAATAAACTGCTGTTTTTGAAAAAAAATAATATGTAAACAGTATCATCCTGAACTAAAGTTTTCCTCAGGAGTAAGGCAATACCTGACGATATAAAAACTACCTTAACTGGTCTGTACCAGCACAGGAAACGCCGAAATTAAGATGCACTGATGGTGATTAATTGGACCCCCCTCCCCGTTTTTGTTGCAGTATAATCAAGCCATCCCAAGTTAATTTATCCCAAACTTTCCTTGTAGAAAAGAAAGATTTAGAACCTATATCCACTCTCGAAATAGGTTTATCGAGTTTGAACAGTTTTCGCCAACTTCCCAACCCCATGGCCTTTTTTTTTTGGGGGGGGGGGGGGGGCTTTATTAAAGTTTTTCAGGTATTTTGTCAATTACCCCCCCCCCCCTTTGAAAAACAATGCTACATACCTGCATGGCATATACATCACATGTTCATATGTCCCATCCTGTTTTTAACATATATATATGCATCCTCATTAGAAGTGTTTATAGTGGCATTATATAGTGTATAGGCCTATATTGAAAAAAAACTGAAACCTGTACATGTAATGTTGCACGTTAACTGAATCATGAACATACGTGTACAGATAGATACCAGAGAGCTTTCAGCATGGAAAGCTCTATAGAACTAGATGGCTATACAAGTACTGTAGTTAAACTCATTTCAATAGTACATTTATAATAACACCCCCCCCCCCCTTCATTTAAACAATTTCACCTGTAATTTCATGATGAAAGGAATATACATGTACACGTACCCATATTTTGTTTTGTTTTCGATTTCTTTCTTTTTTTCGGGGGGGGGGGGGGGTTGTTTATTACTAGTATTCATCACCGTTGGGATTTTTACATCCAATTAGGACGTGATTCTTTCATTTACACAGAACAATAAACATTCAAATACATCAATATGTATATAAAGCAAAGCAGTGAACAAATGACTCTCATTTTGTGTAAACAAGTTTTGCGTCTAATAAACTGTGAATATCACACAATCGGTAAAAGTTCCGATAACTGCGTGAACAAACCGTTATAAATTAAGACAGTAAATTATGAAGACAGTGTCAATTGCATGTTTTCATGAAAAAGCTTTCTTAAGCTTTCCAGAGTTAGCTTGAACCCATTCCTGGAAACACTTGATACGTAATGATGAGCTTAATCGTTGGGTAGCGTCCACATTAAACCTTTGGTCGACACGAAGGTAAAAGTCAAACATATTAGCGTAGTCCTGGGACCAAGGAAACTGGGCATTCAACTGCTGGTATTCATGTATCGTCACCTGTGATGAAACAGAAAATCAAAAATCACATTTGTCATTCTCATGTACACGTTTTTACACCTCTTATACATATTCAGCTCTTATATACACATATACTAGAAACATAAAAGTCGAAAACTATATTTAAAATTAAAAAGCTCATAAAGACGAAAGGGTTCTATTATCGTTCACGTGCAATGCATATTAGAAAATCTGAATAGAGAAAAAAAACGTGTGTCGATCCTAGATTTAAAAAGAAAAAAAAATGAAAAGGGGAGGTGGGGTCAATGCCCCCAGTGCCTGTTGCCCTTAGGAAACAATTTCAGAAGGGGTGACAAGTGAAATACCTTATCAAGCAAAAAGAAAACCATTAGGGGGGGGGGCACATCCTAAATTAAGTTTGGTTTTCTATTCAGTATGTTGGAAAAATTACTGGGGGCAGCCACCCGTGCCTCCCCTCCCAACACACACATATTATAAGTTTTTATGAATTTTGATGAATTTTTAAATGGACTGGTAAATAATACCTGTTTGTCTTGGAAATACAGAGGAGCGAGATGTCGAGACATGATTTGTGCCATTTCTTTGATGGTTTGTTTATCACCACAAACGCTGTGGGTTTTGTGCAGGTGTCCGGTCCTATTATTTAAAATGACGCGTACAATGTCCCCTACGTCATCAACACTGATCATGTCCAGCGGTGTAATACCCATCGGAATAGCTGAAAAAAAATTATTATTATTATTATTGTTACTTAATTAAAGAAGAATAACAAAATCAAAATGAAATTTAATCTGACATTTTCAAACAAAGTAGAAAACATATTTATTGCATTAACATATTCACCTATAAAAAAAAAAATATTTCTGTCGGCAAGAATTTTGGTTATGAATAACCAATCGATAGATTTACAGAGTTAGACGAATTGATTTCATTTCAGCTTATGCTTAAAAAGTTTAAATAACCAAAGCATTTGTGATTTGTCGCTTACAACAAATACTCATATATAGGAAGTCAAGTACAGATTCAGAAAAGGCTAGACTTTATCAATAATACTCCCAAAATACGAAATGCATTTAGTAACAATTTTATTGATAGTTCGGAAGTAAGTACCCACCCAGCCATCTGTTATTCTGGCCAGCTGGTAGCGGTTTGAGAATGTCGAGGAGATCGTCATAGAGAGTAGGTACCATTAATGAAGTTAATGGTACTCCTTTTCCTTTCATGTACGCCTCTACTTCGGCCTTGGCCACCAGATGGCGGGCTCCAATACCAATAATTTTAATTGTGTGGAGACCAGTGTTGAACACAACATGGGATACCTTACTCTTTGCACATGCGTCAGCAATGTTCATTCCTTGTCGGATTTCGTCGTCCATGAAATCAGGGTTATTAAAATTGGAAACAGTCGTTACAAAAGCACATTCACAGCCAGAGAGTGCCTGACTGATGCTTCCAACGTCCTCCAAATTGCACTGAACCACCTGAGCACCACTGGCACGAATTTCCGATGAATATTGACCGGAACCATCGGGGTCCACGGCTTTGACCATGAAGTTACTGTCTTTTGCCAAACTCCTTGCAACAGCTGCACCAAGAGCGCAATTGGCGCCAAATACGGCGACAATTTTTGACATTCTTAAAAAGAAAAAAAAATCATTTAGAAAAACAACAAAATCATGCAAAATAAATCAATGTTTTCCCTCTTTTACTTCCATTTCATTGTTCAAACAAAGTCAAAGACGACCCTGTCCGTTTTTAAAATTCGGAAATTGTCTGAATGAAGTGATTTGCAGTTATTTGTTGAATGTTTTATCCGCTAAACAACACTTGCTGAATATATACAAATATTTACCTGTGACTTATATACAACAGTATCGTATTTTGTTTGGTTACAACAATGCTTCTTGTATGCGGTAAAAATTATCAGACTCTAAATATAAACGAGGGCTTTGGAATAAATATGTAAACAGTTTAAATCTTGACTGGATTAATCGTTAATCTTCACAAAATCGTTAAAAGTTAGCTGTCAACCGACAAGTAATATCACGTATGCTAGACAGATTGAGATTTTAAATCTATGTCGCGTGTTCCAATGATCTTTGGCCATGTGTTTTCTATGGGTAATGTGTATTCCAATTAAAATACTTAAACTTAACCCTTACATCTCAAAATAAAATGAAAATTGCGTCAGTAAATAGCGATATATTTGACAGTAATTATCTGTTTTAAAGTAAATTTTGAAGATGCCTTACCTGTATAATTTACAAGGACACACAGTTCTATGGAATATTTAAAGTGTGTATTGGAGAGTCGTTCATGTCACTTCGTCGTAGTATGGGATTAAACAGTGGCGTGTAGCAACGCCGCACTGCGCAGGCTCTGGGTTTTTTCTCTCAATAGATTTACTCGCCTGAATCGATACCACAAATGCCTTTTTTGAAATAATTGAAAGCGAATTTCTTTAAGTGAACATCGACTCCTTTCATCCGTCTCGATACATAAATCTTTCATCGAGTGTTTTCTTAACTAGATTTGCAGTAAGATACTGTACCTATTTCGACATTTCGATATATCGACGACGTATTATCAATTAACAATAGTTACTTTCATTCATATGTCGACTCGATATATCCCAGTGAGCTTGAAATAAAAGATACCACAGATTCTGACACATCTCTTTCCTATCTAGATATTTTTTTTTAGAAAAAGACGCTAATGGTAACCTACAACAACGCTTTTTGATAAACGTGTTGACTTCAACTTTTCAATCGTCAACTTCCCTTACTTATGTAGCAATATATATCCTTATCACCTGCATATGGGGTTTATGTCTATCAGTTGACTCGATACGCAAGAGCATGCTCTACGTATGAACAATTTCTAAAACGAGGCAAGCTATTGACAAACAAGTTGATGAAACAAGGATATCAACAGTCTCGTTTGAAGACATCACAAGTTTTACGGTCGATACAATGACCTTGTCAGCACATATTACCTATCATTGAGTCAAATGCTGACTGAAGTTTTTCATACTAATTGGGTACAGTCCACTAATTGTTTTCCCATAGGCGGCAATGTTAATGTTTCTTCACATAGAAATGTCCCTAATTTTCGTTCAGCATTGAGTGACCCCTCAAATCAAAGCACATCAAGTTGTCTTTCCTTGGTTAAAATATCGAGGTGGCATGTCAGATTCGTTTTCCGGCAAAATGCGTCTGTCTGCGTTAACCTCTGAAAATGAAAGTGAAAGTAGGGGAATTCAAGACTTCTCACTGGTGTTATAATACATAAAATAATTCTGCTGATCTTCTTGATAAATTACATCTGCCAAGCTTTTTTGCAAGGGAACATACTCCTTATCAACAAGTATGAGGCTCAGTTTAATACATTATCACAGTTTGTTTTTTTTTTTTATTCAGGTCTGCAAATTAAGGAACTTGTAATTTTTTCTGCACTACTTTCTTCTCCTACCGATTCTAAAAATAATTAGAGGTATGTACCCAATTGTTAGGCCATTATTTATACACTGAACTGTCAACGGATTTCTCCGGGTTTTCCGATTATGACAAGGTGTGAAGGGAATGCTCACTCCTCCATGGCACCTGATCCCACCTCTAAATTTTGAGGTCCGTGTTTGCTCTGCTCCAAATTTGTATCATTTCATTGGACTTTTGAGATTGAATACTGTTCGTTATCTTCATATTTTATTACATAAAGAGTCAATGTTGAATTCCACACTTGTGTCTGTAAGATTATTTTGGAAATTCTAGGTTTTTCTTTTCTTTCTTGTTGTCTCTTTATTTGATTTCTCAAAAGTTTTGAGAAAAAAAATTTTTCGAGAGGTGTGTCTTGGGAAAAAGTAGATTAAGAGTTAATGGTCCTCATACATCTTCAGAAATCGTAGACATCATTACCATATGTATGGGTCCTCAGCTCGTGGAAAGTTTGCAAGCTTCCTTTTTTTACGGCCGTTGACCGAAACATATGCAAATGTTAATAAAAATATTGTCAGCGAACATCGACACATTATGAGGCGCCGTTTTAGTACAAATATTTTTTTTAAGTATTTATGATCTAAAAAAAAAATCTTGATATAAATTCCCAAGGAATTTTCCCCCATTTTGTGAATTTTGAACGTAACAGTCATTTTTGCGCCTAGATTTTAAAGTTTCACAACTAGTTTTGAAGTAAAGTGCTTCTGTTTAGACACAAAAATAGGAAGTCCTATGACTTGCGGCAGCTAGTTGCACTTTTTTAGGTCACCTGAGTCACTCAGGTGACCTATTGCTATCTGTTTTCGTCTGTCGTCGTTCGTCGTCAATCGATCGTAAACTTTTGAACATTTTTAGCTTCTTTAGCTTTAGCTTCTGGAACCACTGAACCAGTTTCAACCAATTTTGGCATATAGCATCTGTGGGTGAAGGGGAGTAAAAATTGTGAAATTCATGGTCCCTGCCCCCCTGGGGCCTGAGGGGTGAGGCTAAAACCATCAAATTAAATGCAATCTTTAAAAATCTTCCTCTTACTCCTGGACATCAAGCAGTCAAACTGATAGCATGATTGTAATAGGCATTGAGCCCTCTACCAAAATTTTGAAATTCATGGCCCCAGGGTCAGAGGTTCTGGCGCTAGGGCGGGGCTCTAATAATTATATAGTGAGAATGCATTAATTCTATGAAAATCTTCTCCTCTGCTCCTGGGCATTAAGCCGATTAATTAAGTGCATAGTTATGATGAGGAAGAGTGCCTCTTCCAAAATTATTAATTTCATTACCACAGGGCTAGGGGTTCTGGTGTTAGGGCGGGTCTCTAATGATTATATAGTGAAAATGTATTAATTCTTTGAAAATCTTCTCCTCTGCTCCTGGGTATTTTAAAAGCAGATTAATTAAGTACATAGTTATGATGAGCAAGAGTGTCTCTTCCAAAATTGTGAATTTCATGGCCCCTGGGTCAGGGGTTCTGATGTTAGGATGGGGCTTTAATGATTATATAGTGAAAATGCATTAATTCTTTGAAAATCTTCTTCTCTGCTCCTGGGTAATAAGCCGATTAATTGAGTACAAAGTTCAGTATGATGAGTAAAAGTGTCTCTTCCAAAATTATGAATTTCATGGCCCTTGGGTCAGGGGTTCTGGTGTTAGGGTCGGGCTCTACTGATTATATACTGAAATGCTTTGAAAATCTTCTCCTCTGCTCCTGGGTATTAAGCTGATGAACTTAAGTACTAGGAAGCAATTTCAGTTGGGGGGGGGGGCACTACCAAGAAAAAATTCCTGTACAAGAAAGGTCATCAGGCGCGTAATTATTGAGGGGGCATATCCATAAAAAATCTTCAAATTGTTTTCTTTAGTTTTCTGTATATATCGTCAAAAAAAATCGTCAAAACCACAAATAGATTGGCCTCTCGGACTGCAAAAAAATGTGAGCGTTGTGACCCATGGACCTCTATTTTTTTGCCCAATCAAATTGAATATTACACTCTCTGCTGACTTCATAAACATAACACCACGTGACCAAATTTAGCTGGTTCTCTTTAGCTTAGGATAATGATGTAAATAGAAAATATTGCAAAATGTCATTCATTCATTTGCCAGAAGAACCGTGGTTTAATAACTTCTGACAGTGTGCTACAGGTATCATAGTCACTTGTTTTTCACTTTTTATCCATTTAATTTTTTTGCTTTGGGTTACTCATTGTCAGGATGTAACTAGAATCTATTATTAGGCTAGATTTGTCAACATATAATTATTTGTTCTTGATAGATGTATGTAATTTTTATTTCAAATGTATAAATATCAAGTCAGTATTCACGAAAAAAAAAAAAAACATGTAGCAAGTACTTGTTATGGCTTAATGATTCTCTGAATTTTGAACATATTTGTCATCACATTATATGTAACAGAATTCCAGAATTCATACAACACATACATGTAACTAATCATGATTACTTTAAAGGTAGAGATATTACACAGATTAAAATGAGTATTAGTACTTTGATTTGTACCTGGCAAATAAATTCATTCAATCCCCAGAATCTGTCATATAAATTCTCAAATGTTCATGCTTTAAATTGGTGAGGCCTGAGACTGTTTATTTTAATCTATTTACTTTAATAAATATATTGTGTTATTATAGCAGTATCATGCACATCCTGAAGATTCTTATTTTTGGACACAAGAAAATTATTATTGTGAAGTTACTCTATTTGGCATGATAAATATAAATATACAGGTCTATTAATTATAATAAACCTATGTACTTTAATTCAGTGTTCGCGAAAAAAATATATTTAACACCGGACATTCGGACTGGCAGTCTGATGCATTTCACAGGACCAAATCAATATTTTCTGGACTGAAGCTTTTTATCAACAAGGGCATTTATTTTCCAGAACTTTCAAAAATTTAGATTGACAGTCAATTGCGTCATGAGCGTTATTGATTGGCGACCTATTGCTGTGTTTTTTCGTAAACAAGGCAAACAATAATATATAAAAAAAGACACAAAATTAATAGCAATGTTAAATACATTATTTATTCAGTTACATTACCTGAGATACTTTGTAAATGTTTTTTGTTTATTTATCTACATATATGCTGCTGTTTCTACTTTTGTTTTTGTATGACCATGCATATTAAATTTTTAATACAATTTACTATTAGATGAAATAAATCATATATGGAACACTTAGATAACGAAGAATATTGTTTAGTAGTACTGTAGATTTGGTGCAATTATTTCTATAAAATATTTGAATGAAAGAAATTTTTTTTGATAACCATCGGGAGAAAATGCCGATTTTTGAACTCAAGATCAGTGGTCCCTTGAACTTCTGCGTTTACAAGAGTCTCCTGTAATTCATAGACAATTAAATGAAGTAAAAAGAAAAAACACACAAATTTTAATTGATAGGCCTTCAGGCATTTGGACCAATTATTTTAACTTCATCATCAGACCAAATCGATTTTCATTGGATTTGTCCGACAGACCAGTGCTTTTGGGATAGACTGTTAATTCAGTTTGGAAAACACTACACAAAAAAATGTAATGTAGAAGTTCAAATGATTTAATTAATTCATTGTGAGACATCCAAAGAGTACTGCACTGGAAGATTTATTTTCCATTTTAATATTTCTAATTTAATCCAAGATATTAAAGCAATATGGCAGTAGTGCAATGAAATAAAGGGCATAATTTTTAAAAATTAAAGTATTCTGCGAGTATTTCCATAAGCAATACTACTCCCCTACCAGCAAGTGTAATCTGGTTCCCCTTAAAAATTAAAAAGACCATAATATCCTAAAAATTCCTTGTCATGAAGTAGAACAAAATGCAAACTTGATCTATATGATCTCATTAAAGTAGACTGACATACCAAAAGTCAGCTCAATATCTCCAAGCCTTTAGGGAAAAAATGTGGAAAATCAAGTGGGGAAATCTGGTTCCCCATATATATTAAAAAAGGTTGTAATTCTGTCATAGTAATCCAAGCGGAACAAAATGCAAATTGATCTGCAGCTTATACTCAAGGTATACTCACATACCAAAATTCAGCTCAATATCTGCAAGTGTTTAGAAAAAAGTGCGACAAACTAAGTGGGACAGACTGACAGACAAATAGAGGGACAGACAGAGGAGGAGGAAACCTATACATGTAGTCCCCTGGGTTCGATTTCACCATAAATTTCAATTTAATGTCAAACATAGCAAAAATTTTGTAATACGACTAAAAGGTGAGTGTGTATGGTGTATGTAAATTTTTGTCATATGCATATAAACAATTATACCAGTAGGAATGCATGCAGTTATGTCCCTGTTGATTCACCATATCAAGTTGCAAGTTGCCCAGTTTTATTCTGAGAGCATATTTACAAGGTTGAGGGAATGTAGATATTTAACAGTGTAGATAGCGTATTTCTCTGTTTTATGGTGAATACTTCCTTTCCTCATCTTGAATTTATACAAGAATTATCAATTTAAATGTGAAAGATGATAAAGTGATGTAAGCATCAGAACCCCATGGCCAGTTTTTGCCTTTTTTCATGCTTTAATATCTGATGATTTCTATGGATAGTAAAGATTTAGTTTACAGATTGAATGATTAATTCCACTACAGTTCTCTAACTTATGCATCAGAATTTATAATCTTTATACAAATGTCATCAACAGATCTGCAAACAGCAGACATGCAAATTTTTGTCAAACCTATTACTCAGGGGAATGCATGCATTTCTGTTGTAACAAAAGTGCTTGTTAACTTGGGGCAATTAGGAAAATGAAAATCAGAAAAATCCATGTACTAACCAGATCAGGACAGTTATTGTTCATGGTAAGGTATTAATGGCTGTATATTTAGCAGAGTTATTGATTGTTTCTGTATATTTTAAACTGCTGTGCTTAACAAGGCCAAGAATTGGCATGCATTGATCCAGGTTTCATTGTAAAGTGATCTGGAAACCATAATCTGCTGGGAATTGATGTCACTTAGGCATACTCAGTTATTGTATATAGGAATACAGTTGTCTGTAGATCATAAACAGAATAGCTATTATTCAAATTGTGATCTTGAAATTTTTCTTAGCAGGAGATTAATCATCTTTGTACTATGTATCAAATAAAATTCGATTCAGTGAAATAAGTGATTATATCCCCTCATTTTTAAGAACTTTGGTTTTATTAGAATTTGCACCTGTTCCAACCAGGTTTTTGAATGATTCTGAAAGTGTGTAACATTATATTTCACATTTATAAGCCTGATTTCAAAAGCTTTCACTATAAACACAAAAATGTTTAAGGGGGAGGGGGTAATTAATTTTCTGCAACTAAAGAAACTTTGCATTTTTTTTTTTTTTTTTTTTTTTTTTTTTTTTTTTTTTGCAAATAGAGACCCCATGCAAAATATTCTTTAAATCTTAATATCATGTATGATACTACAAAATGTTTTTCATTAATAGGTTTAACATTTGCTGTGTAAAAAAAGAAAGAAATATATACTGGTGCATTTATCATTTCAAGGTAAATTTTAAATTTCTTTTTCTGATTTAAGTCTATTCTGTATTTGACTTTGTATATTTTTCAGCTTAATTTTAACATATCATTAAATTTAATTGTTGTCAATAGGGGCCTTATAATATTCTTAATGAATTTTTATGCCCCTGTAATCAAAGATTCAGAGCACATAGTTTTTGGTCCATCCATTTGTTTGTCCACAAAAACTGTAAGTTTTTGGTCTGTCTGTTTGTCCACAAAAACTTTAACCTTGTTCATAATTTTTGAATGGTTGACAAGACCTTTCTTTGAGTACCAACATATTTGACTTTGACCTTGGAGTTTGACCCTTTTTTGCAAAATTTACCAGACTTTACTTATGATTGATTAGAGCTAGGACTTTCATATTTCACATGTATTCCTTGTGACAAGACCTTTCCATGGGTAACAACTCTTATGACCTTGGAGTTTGATGTTCTTTTGAAAAAAAATCACCTTGGTCAGAAATTTTTGAATGGTTGGTGCTAGGGCTGTCATATTTCACAAGTTTATTCCTTGTGAAAAGATCTACCTTTTGGTACCAACATTTTTTACCTTTTGGCCTTGACCTTGGAGTTTGTACTACTTCTAAAAAACTTTATCCTTGGCCATAACTTTTGATATTTTTTTTTCATGTTTCACATTTGTATTCCTTGTGACAATTCCTTTCCTTGGGTACCAACAATTTTGACTTTTTTGACCTTGACCTAGGAGTTTGGCTTACTTTTGAAAAACTAATCTTGGCCATCAACTGTTATACGGAGGCATCAGTTTTCACAAACACATTCTTTTTTTACATTTTTTTATGCTCAGAGAAAAGTAGGAAGAGTAAGTATTGTGAGCTTGTACTAATTGGTCAGTTTAATATGTAATGAAGTAAAACTCTTCTTTTTTTTTTACTTTAAATAGAAAATATTATCTTATTTGTGCATTTTAGAAATTACTATAATTCCTTGAATGGGACAGAATGAAGGGAAGCATGCGGGCGGTAAACACCATACCCCAGGGAATTCTCGCAAGGCAAGCCGAGCCTCAGCGGCAGAGTCAGACTCAGACTCTATAGATACCTCTTCCTCTACCCAGAGCCCAGCCACTCCATCTGATTCCAAACAAAATCGAATGATGGCCTTCTTTAGAAAACAGAGTGAGGCTTCCAAAAAGCGCATGGACCATCAATTATATCTGGTGGGTTTTTGTTTGGAACATCAGCATTTGATAAAATTTAAAGTGGTGTACATGTTTTATTCAAAAGTGATATTTCTTAGCGTTTATCATACCCCCAGTCAAAAAGCTGCAGAATTAAAAATGTTTAGACAGTTCGAAGGATTCTTTTTATTATTTATATCGATTGTTTTTTTCAGGCACAAGAAAGTCCTGAACCCACAATTGATTTATCAAAATGTGAACTTGAAGAGGTAAGAATTAATCTATGGTAATTACAAAACCTATTTATGTCATGGATGAATGTTTAGAGTGTTACTGATGATGTCTTTTCTCAGTGTGTTGAAATAAACACATTTCCAAATTTGTTACTTTCAGATCCCACCTCTGGTTTTTTCTTTGTGCAAGATTTTGAGTAAAGAGGTAAGAGCATGTGTGTATGTTTTGTTCTCGAGCAAATTGTCCGGATTAATTAAGTGTCCGGATTATGAAACATACTTTGGTATATATGAATATAAATTGTTCCCCACAAATTTCGTCCAGAAGGTGAAGCCTTTGGATTATTGATGTCCAGATTAACGAGACTGATCCCTAGGATCTCCCATGGTTTGTGGTTGGATATATTTTTTTATCCAATGAGTTGTGTGTTTGCTATCCCAAGCTTTGGCGAGGGGATAGCAAACATACAAGGAGTTGGATAAAAATCATATTCAACCACAAATCGTAGGAGATTCTTTTTATCAAATGTTTTACATAGCTATCACATGTTTAACACTGTTTTTATATATGAATCCACCTTATTTGACTTCATCATTTTTGACAACTGTTGATATGAAAATGAGTTCATCATGTGACTGTTATCCACTGAATTAAACATATATATATATATAATATATATATATATATATATATATATATATATATATATATATATATATATATATATATATATATATATATATATATATATATATATATATATTTTCATATAAGTGAAATTCTTTGTGCTTTCTATATTAATATTTCTTCACTTTTTCAACTTTTTTCTTTGTCCTGAGGAAGGGACAGGTCGTCCCGAAAATTTGACAATTTTTATTGTTCGTGTCGTTGGTCATTTTTAGTGCTTTATATATATATATATATATATATATATATATATATATATATATATATATATATATATATATATATATATATATATATATATATATATATATATTCATATATATATTTATATATTTGAATGTGTTTAAATAGGCAGAATTAAATAGACATTTTGAAGGGGAAAATAAAGAAAAATTGACTATTTTTCAAACTGAAGAAAATTGAATCATATGTCAGTGTAGAGAATAATGCAGAGCTGCCAACCCCTATGATTTTGGGGTAAGGCTAAGAGATTGAGCATCTGAATTACACCTTATGATTTTATTATTTATTTTTCTGATTTCCGTTTTGGTCAGTCGAAAAGTTTGAAAAATAGGGAATTTTAAAGGCTACTAGTATCCACCTTCAGTTTTTACTATTATAACTAAAGAGGTCATCATCCTTACAGCACTCATTTGTATTGTCCTTTTCCATGCAAACTTGTGATGTACGCAGTAAGCAGTGTAGTAGTAAGTGGAGTAGCAGTTTATCTGTGCATACATGTAATTATAAAGAATCAAGTGTAATGATTGGTTTTACAGGCAGTGTTCCTGGGTGATAACTGGCTAGGATCATTAGAAGGCGGGAAGTGTATTGACATGAGGACAGTAAGGGTAAGTTATATCAGGAAGCTAAGGATGTATATAATTACGTGTATGAGGACCGAAAGGGATACATAGATATCTCAGGAAGGGTGTGTTTAATTACATGTATGAGGACAGTATGGGTCATATAAATATTTCAGGAAGAGTATTGTTTGAATATATTTACGAGAACTGTAATAGATTTATATCTCAGAAGTGTATACATGTACTGTAAAATTGGATATATACATGGTTTTGTCAATTAATTAGTATTGCACTTTTGCAAGTATAATTTTTATTCTTTATTCATACTTATGTCTGAATAGGTGTTAGACTTGCACAACAATGAAATTAAAGTTTTGCCCAAAGACATAGGAAGTATGACTTGTTTACAGGTTAGTGTAAATGGTACTTAACATTGAAAAAATTAGACTAATGAGATTGAATATGCATGTTGATTGTTTAGCAACCATTTACAGTTAATTGAATGAATGGATTTATGTTTCTATACAGGTACTCAACTTGGAAAGAAACAGAATTTCAATTTTGCCAAAGAGTATTGAAAATCTGAAACACTTACAGACATTAAATTTAAAAGGTATTTCCTAATTACTAGTTCCAAGCTCATCATTGAAGAAATAAATTTGCTTGTCTTGATTTCTGACATGTTCTAGAATTGTTTGATAAACCCCTTTTATTGCTTCAGGAAATAGAATGAAACTTGTATCCCCGTCCCTGTGTGGCCTAAAGAGCTTACGGACCTTGGATATATCAGAAAATAAAATCACCAGCTTACCTCCTCAGTTGTGCAATGTTAGGACACTGGAAACTCTAGTCATAGATGTCCAGAAAATAACGTATCCCTCCCCAGGTAAAATATTGCTGCTTATTTAGTGAGGTCTGTATATATTATGAGATCTTGTGGTCTCAGGATAAGGTGTCCTAGATTGTGCTGTAACTTTGGAAATTTTGAAGGTTTATAGAAATAACATATTTTTCATGTTTGTCCCTTTACCAGTATTATTTGCTTTGAGTATCTGTGAGGCAAAATCCTTTTTTGTTTCGAATTGCTAATTATTTTTATTTCATTATAGATATATGCAAGAAGGGCACAGAAGAAATCATGACATTTCTATGCACAGGTAGGAGTTAGTATCTACTTATAAACAACCTCAACTCACCAGTGCTAAAATCTTAAAGGCTCAAGTGAGCATAGTGTCTAGCGTCCTTCTGTGTGTCATGTGGTGTTATTCAGTTGTTAGCTCACCTGAGCCGAAGGCTCAAGTGAGCTTTTCTGATCAAAATTTGTCCATTATCTGTCATCGTTGTAAACTTTTTAGCTCACCTGAGCTTAAGGCTCAAGTGATCTTTTCTGTTCGAAATTTGTGTGTTGTTTTCATAAACTTTCACAATTTCATATTCTTCTTCACTACTAGGTTCTCGGGCAAAATGCGTTTTGTTGACCCATCAAATGGTTAAATAAAGGCCCCAGAGTGAGACAAACAGTTTGGTTTTTGGGTCCGACAATATACGTACAAATAAAAGATTAATTTATATGATTTTAAAATGAGAGAGAGGGGGGGGGCAGAGTGAGAGAGAAATGCGTAACGTATATTTAATAGTACGTTTATTATAAGTATCCGATTATTCTAATTCAAGCAAGAGTTTGATTTTTAAAAGCTAGACTATTTTTTATGCGAATTACTTGGTTTGTTTTAAGATTGCATTAAAACTTTTAACACTATTTTATAAATGTCAGATTCCCTATAAAATTTTATGAGAAAGCATTAAAGATATTTTCAAAAAGTATTTGAAATTTTAATTAATAGATAACATTGAAAGGGCAAATTCCCCAGCCCATTCTCGCGATGCCATTCATGAATTTATCTAAGCAAAGTGTGTTTAAAACGTTTCTGTCTTGTCATCTGAAAAAGTTTCCAAAAAAAAAACTGAAAAAGTACTGTCATTCGATTAATAATTTTATATGTCTCCAGATGGTTCTGTTCAAATACACGAATCAAGTATCCCCCCCCCCCCCCCAAACAAGCTGTAGCACTTCTCTTGGATAGTTGGCATGGGCAACCTTCTATTATATGGGCAATTTTCTTTAGCAACTTTCTCCAACTTAGTATAGCTTCTCAAAAAAAAAATGTATAAATTAAAAAATAAATAAATAAAAAAATAAATAAATAAATATAATAAAAATAAACATGTATAAACGTTTACTCTTTTGAAGAACACTTTTACGATCTTTTTTTTAAATACGTAAATATAATTATAAATAACTACTGTTGCTTGAAGTTTCGACTTTGTTGCTTGAAGTTTTGCTCAATATGAGCCTATCTTTAAGTAAGAATTGTGAGCCTTTGATACCAAACCTATGGAGAAAATGAATATAGGCACTTTCAATCCATTTCAGGTAGAGCTCTCGCGCCGTGATCGGAAGGTCGTGTGTTCAAATCACGGCTGCGACCGACCTAAGTCGATAAAAAATAGGTAGCAACTGTTCCTTCGTCAAGCGCTCGGCACTTTGAAGTGAAAGTTGCGGGTCTTTCGGATGAGACCTAAAAACCGAGGCCCCGTGTCACGGTAGGTTCAAACTTTTTTTCATTTTTTTTTTCACAACCAATTTTCCCCCAATACACTAAATTCCTAAACTTTACCTATGCTACAGCAAATAGATGGGGGGTGGCTAGTCTTTTAATGAACATTTTTAAAATTCGGAAAAAAGTGGGAAGGGGCCCTGCGTCCCTGATTCTTCGTGCCTAATAAATAACTTGTTTTCAGACTTGTCCACACTGACAAATAATTTTGTTCCACAGTACTTATATTGTGTGATACACTTACACTGCCGTAATGGGGTGAAAGAATTTTCTATACAGGTGACATTGTGAAAAGTGAACCCATCATCCGATACAGCTTTTTTTAAATTTTTTTTTTTGTCCGAAATTCCTTTTTGGACCTTTCTGTCGCTTTCTCATTCCAGTCTTCTTTTAACTTCACTGGATCCTCGACAGATAAGAAATTACAACTCTGGTATATGTGGAATGATCTCAAGTAGAATATACGGGTAAAAAATAAAGAGCCATAGCTCCTCTCAGACGACACGGCTGACTCGAGAATGTAAAAGGAAATCACCTGATTCTATTTATAGATATACCTTTTCAATTCAAGATCAAACTATGTAATATGATTTGAGGACGAGTGTTATATTTTCGTAGTTGCACGTATGTCAAATGACAATCATTTAATTTGTTCAGTACTCAAATTCTGAGACAAAAGATTTATAAAATCAATAAAAATAAAACAAGTAGCTATGAATTTGCAAACTTTAATAAAATAGTTTAGGACTGTTTTTTCCGAGCTACTTTCAAAGTGTATATTGTGTATATTATAACTTTCTGAACTTATGTATATCATAAAACGTAATAAAGAAAAACGTAGAAAAGATACACAAAGAAAAACAAATTTAAGAAAGCATAAATGGAAAAAATGTGGGACTTGAACTCGCTATCACCATATTTACATTCCAGCAATCATACCATTGCGCCAACGAAGTCAATGACGTTGAATGAATAATTTTAAGACAGATTGGTAAATCTTACGATTATATGAGAAGAAAAATTGAATATATATTTTCATCATTTTCAATATGAAGACCACCTTTTAACCAAAATTAGAAGTGCAGTCATATCCGAATAAAATCCTTCAAAAGTTTTTTTTTGTTTTTGTTTTCCTGGTTAAGGGTGGTCTTTGACAACAGTTTGTCATCTTTAGGTGGATACCTCAATATTTACTATATACTCCATACAAACTGGATAATTTTCATATTTATCATATGAGGAAACTATTAATATTGAAATATCATTAATGTGTGGTATGGTTTTACGCATGTATAAACTAAGATTGTATGATAAAATTTTGGTTAAACAATGAATTTAAGGAATCACCAGTAGAGTAGGCGAAAATACCTATCAAATGCGCTGTGGCTCTTTTACTAGGTGAAATATGAGCCTTTGTTTTTTATATTGCTTTGCATAATATTAACGGCAATGTCTACAATATACAGATGCAGATGCAACACGCTTATATTGTGCGTGTATTATAAAATCTAAAAATATATTGAAACATCAACCGTGCACTTGTATAAATGACTGAAAATACAAGACTTCAGAATATTAATTAATCTAATCAGTCCTGACCAACAGCATCCAAAAGATTGGGAATTTATCCCCCCCCCCCCTTTCCAAAAAGAATGTGTTGCAAGGGGACCTATTGTGACGTCATCGTTGAGTTTCTTGCGTAATTTATTTACATACATGCAGACGTCAACTAGACCGTTTCAGTAGCAAGATGAAATAAAGGCTAGGATTTAAGCATTTTCTTTTCTGCAATAATACTTTTAGTGATTTCATTTGTCAGCTGAACATTTATATTTTATTGCTTTAGTATATTAAATTGATCTCTTCCCTTCTTGCTGGCAACATTTAGCAAGTGTAAGGCTTAGTTATTTAAAAAAATATCGTAATTTGTCATTTCTATAAAACATTTTTTTAGTTTTTATGCTATTTTCATGACAAATATATTTGTATGAGCAATATAAATATGGTCAATCAATGATAAATTTATTTCTTTAACATTATTACACGAAATACACCATTATTATTGCTCCTAGATAAGAACTCGCCTCTCGACTAACTTGGTATCCACCACCGGAAATAGTCATGAAATGTCAAAATTAACATACTGCACATTCCTCGAGCAAATTCTTAGCATTATTTTTGCTTGTCTTTTATCAAATTATTTTCAAATATATATGTTTTATTTTGCTCGAGGGGTGTGCACTACTTCAATTTTGGGAATTTGTTGTAAAAATAGTGGAAAAAATAGCAATTTCCGGAAAGAACGGATGTTTAAATCCTGTGAATACCTCTAATCAACGTACTTGCGAAATTTTGTTATATATCAAAACTACCAATCTTCTTCTACATGTACATAGTAGTTATATTTTTGCAAACTTGTATATCAAAATACGAAAAATTGTGGGCCTTCGAATAATACGTAACGTACTTAGTTCTTTATGTGAAAGCTTCCTGACTTGGTGTAGATTCAGATTTATTCAAATCTTGACGCCTGGGGGCAGTATGATCCCACAACAGGCAATCAAGTTTTACAAAAGAATATACAGGAAAATATTTTTTAAAATCTTCTCAAGAACCACTGGGCCAGAAAAGTTAAAACTTATTTTAAAGCTTCATTACATAGTGTTGGTTCAAGTTTTCAATTCATGACCCCTCAGGGTTTTACATAGGAAAATATAGGAAAAACTCTTTAAATATTTTCTTCTCAAGAATCACTGGGCCATAAAGGTCGAATCTTATATTAAAGTTTCATTATATAGTGTAGATTCAAGTTTGTTCAAATCATGTCCCCCTAAGGGTAGGGTGGGGTATAATAATGATCAAAGTTTTACTTAAGAATAAGCAAAGGCATGATTAGTGGTATTGATATGGAAGCATCTTCAGGAAGTGTAGAATTAAGTTTGTTCAAATCATGACCCCAGGGGATAGGTTTGGCCACAATAGGTGATCAAAGTTTTACATAGGAAAATTTAAGAAAATTAATCTGCTGATGAAAAACAGCAAGGCCATTAGTGACTCAGGTGAGTGTTGTGGCCAATGGGCCTCTTGTAATATTCTGCCTTGTATAATTAGGGATACATGTACCTCTATACACTTTGACATCTTAGATATGTTTTAAAATATTGTAAATGATGTTTATCAATTAATAGAGTGTCAGATGGAGTATGAACCTCCTTCCAAGTTTCTGTTGGATATTCTGGAACCACCCAATCTGATATTATCCCCTCAACGGTCTTCATTTGCCAAAGCTGCAGAGGAGGAGGAAAGTGCATTAAAGGTACAACATGACTTAACATAATACATGTATCCAAATATAAATAATTATCTTTTTTTGCTGTATTTAAGTTTGAATTGATAAAAGTTTTTGTGTGTGTTATTTTGTTATTTTTTTTAGCTTGTTCATGCCTTATTATTTATTAAATGAATTGGTAATTTCTGTTCAAAGTTTTTAGCTCACCTGAGCTGAAAGCTCAAGTGAGCTTTTCTGATCACCCGTTGTCCATCGTCCGTCTGTCCGTCCATCTGTCTGTCCGTCCGTCCGTCTGTAAACTTTTCACATTTTCAACTTCTTCTCAAGAACCACCGGGCCAATTTTAACCAAACTTGGTACGAAGTATCCTTGGATGAAGGGGAGTTTAAATTGTTAAAATAAAGGGCCAAGTCTCCTTACAAGGGGAGATAATCCAGAAAAGACAAAAATAGGGTGGGGTCATTAAAAAATCTTCTTCTCAAGAACCACTGGGCCAGAAAAGCTGAAATTTAAGTGGAAGCATCCTGGGATAGTGTAGATTCTAAATTATTAAAATCATGACCCCCGGGGATAGGGCGGGGCCACAATAGGGAATCCAAGTTTTACATTGAAATATATAGGAAAAATCTTTAAAAATCTTCTTCTCAAGAACCGCTGGGCCAGAAAAGCTGAAACTTATGTGGAAGCATCCTGGGGTAGTGTAGATTCTAAATTGTTCAAATCATGGCCCCCGGGGGTAGGGCGCAGCCACAATAGGAAATACAAGTTTTACATTGAAATATATAGGAAAAATCTTTAAAAATCTTCTTCTCAAGAACCACTGAGCCAGACAAGCTGAAACTTATGTGGAAGCATCCTGGGGAAGTGTAGATTCTAAATTGATAAAATCATGACCCCCGGGGATAGGGCAGGGCCACACTAGGAAATACAAATTTTACATTGAAATATATAGGAAAAATCTTTAAAAATCTTCTTCTCAAGAACCACTGAGCCAGAAAAACTGAAACTTATGTGGAAGCATCCTGGGGTAGTGTAGATTCTAAATTGTTCAAATCATGGCCCCCGGGGGTAGGGCAGGGCCACAATAGGGAATCCAAGTTTTACATTGAAATATATAGGAAAAATCTTTAAAAATCTTCTTCTCAAGAACCACTGAGCCAGAAAAGCCGAAACTTATGTGGAAGCATCCTCAAGTAGTGTACACTCTAAATTGTTCAAATCATGACCCCAGGAATAGGGCGGGGCCACAATAGGGTATCCCAAGTTTTACATTGAAATATATAGAAAAAAACTTTAAAAATCTTCTCAAGAACCACTGGACCAGAAAAACTGAAACTTATGTGGAAGCATCCTGGGGTAGTGTAGATTCTAAATTGTTCAAATCATGACCCCCGGGGGTAGGGCGGGGCCACACTAGGTATTACAAGGGGGGAAGTCTGGTAATGAACAGCATGACCAAAGTTACTCAGGTGAGTGATGTGGCCCATGGGCCTCTTGTTATCCTAGGACTTTTTCTTTTCATTTCAGCAAAATATTGATAGCTACAATTCAATCATGGTAAGTAACATGCACGTCAATAATGTATGTAATGCATGTACTCCTTAATTTTTTCAAAATTTTTAGCTCAACTCAGTAAAGGTGAGCTTATACATGTAGTAATATAGTAATAATTACACATGTAAATATAATCATGTGTACCAATAAAAATTTTACCTTTCACTTCCTTCAAAAAAAAAATCACTACAATGATATATAACAAATTTAAAAAGCTAACTATACTCCCATGTTGGCATCCCTGGTTAAAGTTTCAGGAGCAGGTCATTTCCAATGACCTATAATTCCTGACCAAACTTGCATGGATAATGCATCTAGAGATGCAGACAGCTAGACTAGGTTCAATTGCTGCATCTGACCTATATTTTCTGGATGAGTGATCAGGATAAAGATTATGGAACAGGTCCATTTCCAATTAACTATTAGACCTACCCTGACCAGACTTGCATGGATGATGCATGTAGATATGCAGACAACCAGAATTGCTTTAGATAATTCATTTGACCTATACTATCGGGTTATTATTATTTTTTTGGAGTAGGTTCATTTCCATGTAACTGATGTTGATCAAAGTTTAATAAGTGATGCATCTTGGTATGTAACACCATCAAACTTAAGTCATACGTTGCAACTAATTTTCATGAATGTTTTCTTGGTAAATGGCCATATTAACTTATAAAGGTTTTTGAAGCAGGTCCTTTCCCAAGTAATTCTTACTTGTCTGGATGATGTATCTAGAAATACATACGGTACTAACTGCGTTGCTTAAGATGCACAAAGTGACAAATATTTTTAGCTCTTCTGAGCCAAAGGCTCAAAGAGCTAATGCTATGGCCATTTGCGCAGTGTGCGGTGTGCGTAAACTTTTTAGAATATGGGCCATAACTCAAGAACCCCTTGGCCAATTGTTGTCAAATTTGTCACAGGGTATCCTTGGCCCAAGGGCTCCCTTTCATACTAGGGTTGTGACCCTTAAACAAGGGGAGATAATTAGAAAATAGAAACAAAGTACTGGTTGCTAAAAAATCTTTTCAAGAACCACTGGGCAGATTCTCACCAAACTTACACAAAAGGATAAGGATATGTTGTAGATTAAAATTGCAAGGGGATTCACCCTGGGGCAAAGGGCGTGGTCTCAAGGTCACTTCAAAGTTTACCAAAAATTGCATTTTAATAAAATGTTGATATTTTGCTTACTGTAAGGACTAGGATCATCAAATCTTGTCAGTTGATGCATCTAAGGACCTCATATCATGTTGAGTCAAAAGTAGGTCACGGTGACCTACTTTTTAAATTTTTTGGCCATTCTTTCTCAAAATGATTTAGAGACAATCTAAGGCCTATGATCATCAAACTTTGTCAGTTGATGTATCTTGGGTCCTCAAAGTACGTCAACTAAAAAGTAGGTCACCTTGACCTACTTTTTAAATTTTATGGCTAATCTTTTTCAAAACAATTAAGGTCATTAATTCGAATACCGAGAGGTTTAGAATCATTTAATCTTGTAAGATGATGCATCTTGGGGCCATAAAACATATTTATTAAAAAGTAGGTCACAGTGACCTACTTTTTGAACTTTGCAGGCTTTCGTTTTCAAAGAGTCATAATTTGAATACTTTAAGGCCTATGATCATAAAACTTTGTAAGTTGATGCATCTTGGGTTCTCAAAAAACGTCAACTGAAAAGTAGATCACCTTGACCTACTTTTGAAAATTTATGGCTTTAATTAAATATTTTGGGTACTAATTGGCTTAGAATCATCAAACTTTGTCAGTTGATGCATCTTGGGTCCTTGGAGTACAGCAACTGAAAAGTAGGTCACCGTGATCTACTTTTGAAAATTTATGGCTTTAATTAAATATTTCAGGTCCTAATTGGCTTAGAATCATCAAACTTTGTCAGTTGATGCATCTTGGGTCCTTGGAGTACAACAAAAAAATTTTATGGTTATAATTTTAAAAAATATTTTAGATATTAATTAGCTTAGAATTATCAAACTTAGTTCAGAGAATGACAAGTGATAAGTAGGTCACCATGACAGACTCTCAGGTACTAATTGGCTTAGAATCATCTTGGGTTCTCAGAGTGTGAATTGGAATTTCAAGGGTTTATCTAAATATACAGGATACTTAGAGGCTTCAAATAGAAGTGATAGGTTGTACAGTGTATCAGAAGAGCGATTCAAGGCCCTTGGGCCTCTTGTTAGTTGATTAATGAAAGGTCTGTTATGGAGAACTTAACATGTAACTATGGATCCTACTGAACACTCATTTGGCATGAGACTTTGCCTTACTTATAGATGAAATTTGTTGAGATGTGCCTGTAATCTTTGATTTCCTATGTTTATTATGTAATCCTTTGAGCACATTTTTACAAGAAAGGGTAAGAGATGTGTTAAGTTCCTATCTTTTACAAATTATGTTTTACTAGGAAAAGAAAAGACTTCAGAGGATAGAGTTAGAAAGATTGATGGAATTAGAAATGTTAGAGCAAGCTCAGCTCGCCAGCCAAGCCATGGGCGAAAAACAGAGGTTCATAGAGGAAATGGCAAAGGTAATTATACCCCCGCTCCGAAGGAGAGGGGGGTATACTGTTTTACCCTTGTGTGTCTGTCTGTCTGTCCGTCTGTCCGTCTGTCTGTCTGTCTGTCCGTAACAAACTTTGGTCGCAGTTTTCTCAGCAACTACTCATCAGAGGTGCTTGAAATTTTAACACACTCTTTGTTTAGGCATGCCATATGGTGGGATTCATTTTTGTACGAATCCGATGTCAACTTCCTGTTTATCCGTGCGTTTGTCCGTACCATACATAAAAAAATTTGGTCGTAGTTTTCTCAGCAACTACTCATCGCAGATGCTTGAAATTTTAGCACAATCTTTGTTTAGGCAAGCATATGGTGGGATTCATTTTTGTATGAATCCGATGTCAACTTCCTGTTTATCTGTGCGTCTGTCCGTATCACACATAACAAACTTTGGTCGCAGTTTTCTCAGCAACTACTCATCACAGGTGCTTGAAATTTTAACACACTCTTCGTTTAGGCATGCCATATGGTGGGATTCATTTTTGTACTAATCCGATGTCAACTTCCTGTTTATCCGTGCGTCTGTCCGTACCACACATAACAAACTTTGGTCGCAGTTCTCTCAGCAACTACTCATCATAGGTGCTTGAAATTTTAACACACTCTTTGTTTAGGCATGCCATATGGTGGGATTTATTTTTGTACGAATCCGATGTCAACTTCCTGTTTATCCGTGCGTCTGTCCGTACCATACATAACAAATTTTGGTCGTAGTTTTCTCAGCAACTACTCATTGCAGATGCTTGAAATTTTAGCACAATCTTTGTTTAGGCATGCCATATAATAGGATTCATTTTTGGAACAAATCCGATGTCAACTTCCTGTTTATCCATGCGTCTGTCCGTACCATACATAATAAATTTTGGTCGTAGTTTTCTCAGCAACTACTCATCGCAGATGCTTGAAATTTTCTCTTTGTTTAGGCATGCCATATGTTGGGATTCAGTTTTTACAAATCCGATGTCAATTTCCTGATTATCACTGTGTTTGTCCATAACCGAACTTGTGTATTCACATCAGAGCGGGGGTATTATTAGTGAGCATTCGCTCACAGACTTCTTGTTTTTGTTTAATTAAGTATCTAATTTGAGAAATATGGACAATGCATTTGTCAATTCAATATACATGTACATATATTATTTGGATTTGAATTTTAGGATCAAAATAAGATGGACAAAGAACTAGAAACTATTTTTCATGGAAGAGGAGAAGAGCGGAAGAAACTTGTTAAATACATTCAACAGGGTAAATATTCTCCTAGTTTCTTTTTTATTAGAATTTTTACATCAAGATTCACTTATAACTGCATTGGGGGATGAGACTCCAAAAAGTTTGCTTTGATGTTATGTTTGTTTTTAAATCCAACAGTGGCAGACAGCACTGATGATCTGATAAAGAATATGCTGGAGATGCAGGAGAAGGCTAGAAAAACAGAGGAACTTCTGGAAATTATGGAGCGAGAAAGAATCGAGGATGAACAGTTGTATGTTGTCAAGGCAGAAGAACTTCAGAACTTGCGGAAACAGGAAGTACTCAGTGAGTACAGTTTTAGATAGTGTGGAATTCATTGTACATGTAATTGTATAAATTGTACATTACCAGTACCGGTAATTCATAGAATAAAATTATTGTTTAAAAATATCAATATGGCTGGTCTGGGTTGGTGCTTTGTGTCACCTTTGGGTAGCAATTTTTGTCACCTTTGGGTAGCAACTTTGTGTCACCTTTGTTTAGCAATTTTGCAAAAATAATGTGAGTATTTAAATTTTTTTGAATTCACCAATATGCAAGTCTTTTCATGATCTTTTTATCAAAGTGTTTTATCAATATTGATTTTGATTAATACACAGTATCTTGTGATAAAATTTATGAATTGCAAGTACCCTGATTTATGCATATGTATATTGTGTCAAAAAATATACAATGGATAGCACTTTGATATGGATATGCAACAACATAAAAGTTTATAAAGATAAATTGTGCAGTGTCTTAGATTTATTGTTTATAACGATGATGGTAAATGATCAGCTTTAACTTTTTGTCTTCACTGTTTCAGGAGCAATGGAGGCTATGTTACAGGAGTCAGAAATGTTTGAGTATCTGAGATCCAACTATGTCAATACCAAAGACCATGCTTTTAGACAAGCCTTGCATGAGTAAGCATATCAATTTCCAAGATTTTTTTTTACCACTACAGTCTTGTTTTTTCTGAATCATATGTACAGTATATCCAGTAGTAGTTTATGTAGTTTATTGTGGCATGCCAGAAGAGAATCCAGTGGGAGGGGGGGTTGATTGTTCAAAATATTTCTGAGTCAGTTTTTTTTTTGGACTAGTTATGGAACCCTACCCCTTTGTCCTTCAAAATTCCTGGATCGGCCCTTAAATATTCAGAACTGCATTGATTTTAGTGTAAACTGAATGATCTTTGTATCTTTTAGTGAGGAGATGACAAGTCAGGACCAAGTACAGAGCATTCTTCGTAGCAAGGATCTTGCTAACACCAATATGTTAGAAGTTCTTCAGAAACAGGTGAAGTTTGGCCTCAATCAATGGATCAGACTGATATCTGTGATAGACAGCAATTCGACACACTTCAGCAATTGCTATATTCAGAATTATCAGATAAAAAAAAATTTATGAGCTTAAACTAAAATATGAAATTGGTTAATATATTTATATGCACTGGTAACTTTGATTTACTGTACATATTTCATTTTAGAAATATGCTTTAAAATGTACAATATTGATGTGTATGAAGTTTGTGTAGAAAATTTTCAGTCAAATATTTGCATATTAAATACTTATACTGTCTTGCTTTTTTTTTCAGGAGGAGTTTCAGAGAGATGCATTTGAGGCCTTACAGATCCAGAAGGATATTAAATCCCAGAGGATTGCCCAGCAGATAAATATGATTGAAGAGGAATTAGCCAGCCTTACACGGGTGGAGATTCAGCGTAAAGAGGAAAGAACAGATGACGAAATTGTAAGTACAAGGGTAATGTTCTGACCGTGTGCTGAGACACATTTAAAAGAATGAAGAAAAGTTCTGAGCTTTAAGATTTTGTGTAGAATTTTGCCATTTATTATACCTCCCCCCCCCCCCCCAATTTGAAAAGTGGTTGGGTATATAGTGATGGGGGTGTCCATCCATCCGTCCATTACACTTGCAGGTAGCCATCCCTTATCTGCAACTCCTCTTACACCATGGAATGCAATTTAATAAAACTATTGAAATTTTAATTATATAGTGGCATTGTGCATCTCCTATTTTACAATTCCATCGGACACATATTTGGAGTTTCCCATAGCAAAATGTCAACACTGCCATTATTTCTATAAATATTGGGGTACCCATCTCTTATCTGCAATTTCTCCTATACCTCTGAATAAAATTTAATGAGACTCTCACAAAATCTTAATCACAAAGTGCCATTGTGTACCTCCTATTTTATGTTTCAATCAGACATGTATTTGGAGTTTCTGATAAGCAAAACATGGACTTAGCCATTATACTCATATGGGAGCATGAGATATTATTTTGTGAGCTCAGTGTTCACAGAATCTCTAGTTTACTACAGTATGTGACTAGTCAATACAAAGAATATTAATCTCATTTGTTATCTTCCTTCAGCAACAAATTGTAGTTTGTCTTGCTCTTTTATAACAGAACCGACTTGCTGAGAAGAGGATAGAATTGTTAGGATTACTGTCTCAACTGATGCATGAACAAGAGGGTCGAAGAGACGAACTCAAAAAGAGACTGGTATGTGTATATTAGTGGGAACTTTGGTCCATTGATTCAAGAATTTCAAATGAAACTCCAACAAATTTGATTATTTGACCAAATTAACAGAACAAAGATTTGTTACTGTGTCTGGTTTTAGTTATATTGACTTGAATGCTGTATAATAGAGTGTATTTTGAGGGTCTGTATTTCATTCTTTGTGTGTAGGCTGAGATGGAGCAACAAAAGGAGGATGGGCAGACAGACTATTGGTTGGTACAGTACCAGAGACTGATGGACAAGAAACCTCAGGCTCTCATGGATCGAGTAAGCTCTCTCAGTAATTGAATAAATTATAATAGGACCCTATATGTGAATCACAATATGTATATAACAGAGTTTTTCATTGGATACTCAAAATTTGTATGTTGATAAAACAAATGTGCCTGGAGTATTCTTTTTAATTATCTTTAGAAAAAGTCCTTTCCACAAACAGTAACTTTTCATAAACTTTTTACAGGAGAGACATTTAGAGATTGCAGTGGTGACTGTACTGGAAGACTCGGGAGCAGAGGATTATCTCCCTGTGTTTGCTAGGCATCGCATCACCATAGAAACCTTGCTGCAAATGACAGATGATGACCTGAAACAAGTATGAACTTTTAACCAATATCATTTGTTGGATATTTTACTGACTATTGATGATAAGGACCAACTAACAACTAAACTGTATGACAAACGAGATGGCTTCAGCTTTTCCATCATCAACTTTCCTTATTTTTGTAGTAATATTCCACTATCACCAGCATATTGTGTTTATGTCTCCTAGCTTATTCCATACGCAAGAGCATGCTCTGAGTATGGTCAATTTTTAAACAGAGGCAAGCTACTGAAAAAATAAGTTGATGTTACAGAGATTTTAACCTCCTTATTTAAAGTCAGCATTTCCTAAATTCTAAGGTTGTTACAATAACCTGTTAGCATATACAACCTATCAACTGGGTCGTATTTTCTCTGACATAATTCATACTAATTGTTAGGCCTTTGTTTTTATACTAAATTTGACTATTGTTTTTATACTAAATTTTACTATGGGTATTCCATTTACCTGATCAATACATAGGGCTAATGGCGGGTGACAGGGGATGCTCACTCCTCCTAGGCACTTGATCCCATCTCTGGAATGAACAGGGGTCCATGTTTTTTGCCCTGTTCACAGATTTGTATTGTATGTATACTTTTTGAGATCAATCACTTTTTGTTATCTTCACCTTTAAGCTAAACATGAAATACATGTATACACTAGGAACCATATTCACAAAAGAATATGTAAAATTGATGGATACCCTCATCACTACTTTAATCAAGAAGGTGATAAATTCTTTTTTAGACCCTCCACTCTTCAACTTCAGACATGAAAAAAAATGAAGACCCCAACAACCAATACAGTTCAATATCTTGATACCCCCCCCCCCCTTTCCTTTTGTTTTATGTGCCTTGCTCTCTCCAGTTGTAAAATTTTCATACAGCAAGGATACTGAATGTTTTAATCAAAATAAAAGCCGAAAATGTACATGTATGTGTAAGTGAAGTCTGCCCTCCAATGCCCCATCTCCTGTTCCTTTGCTTTTTCCAGTGCAAAAAAAAGAGGTTTTTATTATGTCTCTAAATTTTTTACAAATTAAATAGACAGACTAGAACACTTTGTTACATTTTGATTTTGTGAATTATTTATAGTTACAAATATTTTAGCATGCAGGTTCCCCTTCGTACAGTATTTTAATAATAGATATTCAAATAAATTCTTTTTCTGTTATCTGTTCCAGTTGTGAATATAACATACAGAAAAAAATTTCATTTCTCAATGGTGCCATCCACCATTAGAATTTCATACTTGATTCTCTCTGGTGCGACTTCTTAATGCTTGTCGGTAAAATTCTTACAAAATGCTATTTCCTTAAAAATATTTTAAAATGTTCGTGATCAGAGCATAAAAATGGTTCTGAATGGAAACAAAGCCTTTGCATTTGCAAGAAAAAAAAGACCTTCAATCAGAGTCCAGGGAAGGTGAAAAAATCTTCCTCAAACATTGCATGTTTGTGCATCCAAATCTGTAAACTACTAGACAATTATGATCAATGATCCAACTACCACTAATTTATTAAATAACAAGTTTAATAGACACAATAACTGAGCCATTTTGTAAACACAGTAAGAGACCAGGATTGACACCTATGACATTCAGAGCAATGGCACTCTAAATTGTCGATCAAAATATGCATATTGAGAAATTCAAACTTTGAATTGCTGAAACATCAAAAATACTAAGTTTCCAGCAAATTGCATGTAAACTTTGTTGTATCAAAATATTTTTAGATGTGATGAATATCCAAGTAATTTTTATTTCAAACCTTAAGCATGGTTTTCTAAAGTAACAATTGATATACATGTACAATATATGATGTGTTAATTTGTAGATGGGTGTTCATGAACTTGGGCTAAGGAGAGCTATTTTGAAGAATGCCCAAAATTTCAGAACATCAAAGGCTGCCACATATCCCAGTGATGTCGCTGAACCAACTCCAAGTAAACCAATCAGTGACAAGTTCAAGGACCAGGTAAAAAAAAATTCTTTTGTAACACATTTTTACCAGTATAATTAGCAGTGTGAGACATATAAAGTTGGTTTTTAACTGGGTTTTCTGTAAGAAAAATCTGGTTATTGAAATGGTCCAGCTATTGAAATTGGTGAAAGTGGTAGGTGGGCAGGCAGGCAGCTGCTAAAAGGGTACTTCATTTGTCTGGATAACTCCTCCCACAGTTTTCAAGATTTTTTTTTATTTTGCAGATCAATTGTACATATATCAGAGATTTACATAGAAATTGGATTTTGTTTTTTGATAATTTATGTGAAAAATACTGTAAACCAACTTTCATTCACGTGCGAGAAATATTCTTGAGTTTCCTGACCAACTTTAACTCGCGAATATTCATTGCCGCGAACCATTTATTTTTCTTTGCTTTTGTAGGGAATATTTCCTGAGTCGCGAAAATTAATCGTCGCGGATTGATTTCAAACTGACGAATTGCAAATTAAAGATATCGCAAATAATAGTTGGTTTACAGTACTAGCTGTTTAACTTTTAAAATCATTCTTATAAAAAATATGTTCATAGGGTACATTGATATTGTTGGAATGTCACCTCATACAGTTTTTTTCAGACAGAAAGTTTGCAAAATTCATGTGAGAAATACCAGTACTGTTCACACAAAAGAAAATCTGGTTTGCTGTCACATTGACAGCTTTCCCCTTGTTAAAACTTTTTTTTAAACAACTTGATTCTATTTTAATCACATTTAACTGCAATTCCGTATAAAAATGTCTGTTGACAGTTATGTTTGAACATTGACCTTCATTGGATAACGTGCCTGTGTCGAATCAGTTCGTGTTAGCTACAAATAAATCCTCAATCTTTTTTTGATTTTAAAAACAACTGATATGTGCACTTTACAATTCTATAATTCTATTGCACTAAGCCATGCAAAATTATTAACAGCAATGTTTTGGAATAAGTTCAAACTAAAACTTCAAATAAATAAATCAGTGTCATTATATCTGCAGTGGGACAGTTATCTACATTAACTTTAAATATGCGGGGAAAAAAAAGAGAGAGAGAGAGAAGAAAAAGCAATTTGAAATTCTTCAATATTTTTCAAAATGTATGAGAATTTAAAATACATGTCAATACCTTGGTAATTACATGTACTTAATGTTCATTAAAAGTTTGCTAATCTATGATGCTTACTTGAATAATTTTTAGAACAGTTTTTCTTAAATAGCTCAACAGCTTTGAGATTTTTTGAGCTTTCAATTTTTTTAATGAGAAAGTGTCACAGCAAGGACACGTAAAAGCTTAATCATTGTTTTTGCTTATTTTTTCCAGGAGAATGTGACCTTTGACCATCCAAAACCATCAGCTCCACCTGTTAGGCAAAGCTCCGTACTAGCAAGAGGACTTAACTCAGAATGTGTGATATGTCTTGATAGACAGGTATGTAGTAAAAAAAATTGATATGGAAATTATGTTTTCATTTAATATTTTACTCAGAATAAATATTACATGGTTAACTTTATTTAAATAATGTTATTTTTAATGAAAGTTCAAACTATCAATTATATAATTGATTATATGGTACTGATTCAGTTAGATAAATGATAGGAACTTTGATTTGATTTTGCAACATTACTGCATAGGAGGACAAGTATTTATTTTGCTGTCTCTATTTTCAGTCTGCTGTGATTTTTCTCTCCTGCGGCCATGTTTGTTGTTGTGAAGAGTGCTCAGAACCCCTTAAGGACTGTCCTCTTTGTCGCGGAACCATTATTCAGAGAATCAAACTTGGAACCACTGCCTTTGCGGAGGCACCAGTCCCAATACCAACCGAACACCCCCCTCCGGCCCCATTACCAGAGGAACATCCCCCATCTGCTCTATTACTCTAATTATCTGCTTTCCTATAGTCTCTGACATCTACAATAATATAACAATAGGTGTTGTGTAACAAGACATATTTATTCTAAGCTAAACTGAATGATAGATATATTCTGTGTATTTTAACCATTATTTACACAGTGAGTCTGTTTATAAACTTTACATTGCACTGTGTAGTGAAGGAGAAACCTTCTTTATTAAGATTAAACAAAATATTACTGTGATTAAGTTTGAAATGATTCATTATTACTATCCTAGTTGTATGTGTATACTCATTTAATTTGAGTCTGTTATGTTGGGGTTTTTATAAGGTCAACAGTTATATGATTGTTCATGTTTAAGTTTAACTGTGCAGAATTAGCCAGCTTCATTTTATCCTCAACTACATGGTCACTAGATATTTTCTTAATATTAAATGTAATGGAATAATACATGTATGTACATGTATATGTGTATAGAACTTACAAGTCCCACAGAAAGGTAAATTATAGCATTTTCTCATGATGTGTTGTTTATAGATTATGTTTATACATTGAGAAGCTGTGTTTCCAATTCCATGTGTTCTTTTCTACTACTGTATTTTTACCAAATGTTTTGTCCTTTACATGTAATTCAAAGAGAAGTATATTTATGTACCATGTGCAAAAACAAAAAAACTCAGCATTGATTATCATTGTTTTGTTTTGTTTTTGCTTTGTATTGAATTTCACCTCGAATATTTAAAAAGACAAATAACTTTTTAACTTTTTTTTTTTACAATGTACATTCTATTTACCATAGTGTAATTTTTTTTTTTGGGGGGGGGGGGGGGGGATTATGAAAATAGAAGAGAAATATTGTTTTGATACTGTAATTATGAAGTGCTATGACTCAATGTTTTCCCTTCTCAGAGTTTTCAGTGTCTTAGTGGTAGATGTACCTTTCTTCCATATTCTGTCTTATACCCTCTCTGCCCCATGTTGGGGTGTCATGTCAATGCTCAATGAATGGTACAGCACCAATGCATGAACTGGCAGCTAATGTAAAAGGAGCAAATGCAAATAATTTTTAGTTTCTGATATTCTTCTTTAGGTTCTTGGTTTAACAGTGCTTGTATCAGCAATGAAATATGTTCATGCATGTGCTTCACTGTACCTTTGTATTATTGAGACAAGATTAACATTTTCAGTAGTTTCATTATTTATGATTTCCTAATACATGTGTATGGTCTATCTTACAAGTATGCTTTATTTTGTCATGCTATCGGCCCATGGAACCAACTGTTATCTATGTCCATTTAATGCTTCTATGTTAAACAGTGAAATTAATTCAGTTAAGAATTGATACTTGGTCAAGCATGACTACCATTCTCCTAATATACATGTACCTTGTACCTTTGATTCCAATTTTCGGGCTGATAACATATGTTATATTGCATAGCTTTATATGAAATTTTTAAATAAATTTCACACATATATGTTGTTAGTTGTCTATTAGTTATTTCATTTGTTCAATCCTGGTCACTACTTGGAATTGACCAAATATACATGTAAGCAGAGATGAAATGAAAAATATTTTAAGTTTATTTACCAGGAATAAAAAATACAAAACCATTGAAATTGTCAAATTTCTAATCCTTCTGTAGTTCTGGTCCAGTTTCAATAAATCTTCACACACAAATCGACGACATCAAGATACATAATTCTGAATATGTTGAATGGTTTTGCCATGTTACTACAAATAGAAATTTCTATGAAATTGTTCAAAACACTTCTCCAACAGTTCCAGTCTGATCTACATGTATTGGAATTTGTTACACAAGTAGACAATATCAAGATATATAATTCTAGTCATAGGTTTTTTAAATACAGTGATAGTGTTCCCATGGTTACTAAAAATGAGAAATTCTGAAATTATTTTAGTTTCGGTCAGATTTTAATAAAAGTTTGCAGATAAATAGATACACATAAGAAACATACAATTAAAATATCTTTCTAAATTCTTTTTTAAAAGATTGAAACCATTTTCAAACTAGAGGTACTGTGAGCACTGAGCTTACAAAATGACATCCCCCACTCCCATATGAGTATAAAGTCCATTTTTTGCCATGGGAAACCCAAATGTCTGTCCGATCAAAACATTAAGTAGGAGGTGCACAATGGCACTATATCATAAAGATTCTGTGAAAGTATCATCAAATTTTATTCAGTGGTATAGGAGGAATGGTACCCCCCTCCATATTGTAGAAAGATTGATTGTATGTTGTTTTACGTCCCATTCAAGAATTTTTCACTCATATACAGACGTCACCATATACCGGTGAAGGGCTTCAAATTTTGACCTTTTCTCAGCACTCAGGGCTATTGAGCAGTGAGGGATCTTTATTGTGCCAACGCCTGCCTTGACACAGGGCCTTGGTTTTTAGCTCACCTGAGCCGAAGGCTCATGTGAGCTTTTCTGATCAAAATTTGTCTGTTGTCTGGCGTCGTCGTTGTTGTTGTCGTAAACTTTTCACATTTTCATCTTCTTCTCAAGAACCACTGGGCCAATTTTAACCAAACTTGCCACAAAGTATTCTTGGGTAAAGGGGATTCAAGTTTGTTCAAGGGTCACACCTTCTTCCAAGGGGAGATAATTATGAATTCATGAAAAATTAATGGCATCATTTAAAAATCTTCTCAAGAACCACTGTGCTTGAAAATATGAAACTTATATGGAAGCATCCTCAGGTAGTGTAGATTCAATTTTGTTCAAATCATGACCCCCGGGGGTAGGGTGGGGTCACAATGGGCGATCAAAGTTTATATAGGAAAACATAGGAAAAATCTTTGAAAATCTTCTTCTTAAGAACAGCAAAGCCATGATTGGTCATATTTATATGGAAGCACCCTCAGGTAGTGTATATTCAAGTTTGTACCAATCATGACCCCCGTGAGTAGGGTGGGGCCACAATGGGCGATCAAAGTTTTACATAGGAATACATAGGAAAAATCTTTTAAAAATCTTCTTCTCAAGAACAGCCAAGCCATGATTGGTCATATTAATAAGGAAGCATCCTCAGGTAGTGTATATTCAAGTTATTTCAAATCATGACCCCCAGGGGTAGGGTGGGGCCACAATGGGCGATCAAAGTTTTACATAGAAAAATCTTTTAAAAATCTTCTTCTCAAGAACAGCCAAGCCATGATTGGTCATATTTATATGGAAGCATCCTCAGGTAGTGTAGATTCAAGTTATTTCAAATCATGACCCCCAGGGGTAGGGTGGGGCCACAATGGGTGATCAAAGTTTTACATAGGAATACATAGGAAAAATCTTTAAAAATCTTCTTCTTAAGAACAGCAAAGCCATGATTGGTCATATTTATATGGAAGCATCCTCAGGTAGTGTAGATTCAAGTTTGTTCATATCATGACCCCCGGGGGTAGGGTGGGGCCACAATGGGTGATTAAAGTTTTACATAGGAGTACATAGGAAAAATCTTTAAAAATCTTAATTCTCACAGCAAAGCCATGATTAGTCATATTTAAATGGAAGCATCATCAGGTAATGTAGATTCAAATTTATACAAATCATGACCCCCAGGAGAATAGAGGGGCCATAACAGGGGATCATAGTTATACAATGGAATACAAAGGATATATCAATCAAAATTTTCTTCTTAAGAATAGCAAAGCCATTATTTGTCATATCAATTCAAAAGCATCCCTATGAAGTTTAGATTCAAGTTAGTTCAAATTGACCCCCCCCCCCCCCCCCACCAAACCAGTTTTATATTTGAACTTTTCAAGACTGAACTGATTTCTGCTTTTTCCTTAATAGAGTGCTCAGGTGAGCGATATGGCCCCCGGGCCTCTTGTTTAGGTCTCATCTGAAGGACCCGCAACTTTCACTTCAAAGAGCCAAGCGCATGGCATAGGAACAGTTGCTACCTATTTTTTTATCGACTTAGGTCAGTCGCAGTGGAGATTTGAACTCATGACCTTCCGATCATGGAGCGAGAGCTCTACCGACTGAGCTACCATGAACGGTATATTATAGAAAGAATGGCTGCAGTGTAAATGTTTTGTTATGGGAAACCTATAATATGTGCCCAATCAAATAGTAAAATAGGTGCACAATGGCATTGTGTAATAAAGATTTTATGAAAGCATCGATAAATTTTGTTCAATGATAGAGGGAGAGTTGCAGATCTGAGATTGATTGATTGATTGTATGTTGTTTTACATCCAATTTGAGAATTTTTCAGTCATATAAAGACGTCACCGTATACTGGTGAAGAGCTTCAAATTTAGACCTTCACACGGGGCCATTGAGCAGTGAGGGTTCTTTATCGTGCTAGGGCCTGCCGTGACACGGGGCCTTTGGTTTTTAAGGTCTCATCTGAAGGACCCGCAACTTTCACTTCAAAGTGCCGAGCACCTGGCAAAGGAACAGTTGCTACCTATTTTTTATCGACTTAGGTCAGTCCCGGCTGAGATTCAAACTCATGGCCTTTTGATCATGGAGCGAGCACTCTACCGACTGAGCTATATTGTGACCGAGATAAGAGATGGTGACCCCAATAATATAGAAAGAATGGCAGTGTCTATGTTTTCTATGGGAAACCCAAAATATTTGTGCGATCAAAAAGTAAAATAGGAGGTGCACAATGGCACTATGTAACAAAGATTCTGTGAAAGTCTCATTAAATTTTATGCAGTGGTATAAAAGAAGTTGCGGATAAGAGTTGGGTACCCCAAAGTGTAACGGACGGACAGACGTACAGCTGGACAGACAGGCTGACACCCCCATCTCTATACACCCCATGCTTTTCAAGCAGGGGGTATAATACTTAAGAACAAGGTTCACTTAGGGCCTTTTATGGCCCTTTGAATTTCTGAAAATTCAAAACTGCTCCGTTTTAGAAGAAAATAGTTACATTAATTTCACTTGGACCCTTGGCGACTCCATATCTGTTAAAAATTACGTAAATTTCTTGCTAGTTCATGTATCATGATGCCATAAATTGCATCCTCATCCTAAAATCCTGAAAAGTTCTTCAGAAATGGCCAAAAGTTTAAGCCATTTTTTCAATATTTTGCTGAGAGTCCAACTTCTGATCAATATTAGCAATTATATACTGATGGAACTGTTTATGATAGTATATTTTATTTTTTGGATCGAGGGATAAGCTCATATTATTATTCTTAGATACCGGTACTCAAATACACCCGTTTTCGGCATAATTCAACATCATTGCAATTTCACAAAGCCTGTTTTAAAATACCTGAACTTTCAGAAAAAGCTTTTTTCAAATGAAATGATAGCACTAAGTCTCTACTTAATATTGATGTTTGAAATAGGACACTGGGTCTTGGCCATGATCTTAATGTGGTGTGATGATAAAATCAGTGATATGTACCTCAAGTCCTTTCATTTTCAGCATTTTAAATAACTTTTACATGAGGTTTATGTAAATCCTAACTGGTTATAAGTGAAGAGAATGGACCTTTGGATTGCTTATATCATTTAAACTTGTTAATATTGAATTGGAAAAAAAGAAAGAGAAAATATGGTATCAATTTATTTCATTAAATCTGGAAAGCATTCAACAAGTAACAACCTGGAATAAGAATATGGCATTCAGTATGTTGAAGTCTATCAACTCTACAATTTAAAATTACTGGTATAGATGTCACCAATGCCAATGGTGGAGGTGTGAAATTCAACATTATGGTACATGTACATGTATGTAAAAACATCTAACTTGCTTATATGTGACATTAAAAACAACAGGCTAAGCACATCAAAGCTAATGCATATCATACACCTAGGTAAAGATCAACTCTGAATATGGAATAAAATAATTCTCTACCTAATATAGGTATTTGTAAAAAATAGAGGAATATTATAAGAATGGTGACCCACATGGGCAGATCCAGCTGTCAAAAGCCTCCTCACCCCACCCCATTTACAACGTCCAATGCCCCTCTCCCTCCCCTCCTTATCCTCCTATTCTTTTGCTTTAAGCCATTTTCCTGTTTTTCCTTGCCTTGTCAATAAATATCAAGTTGAATCTGTATCTATCCTTGCACAAACCAGCTAAATTGTTTTGCTAAGTGTTTTGGTGAAATAAATTTTGAAAATGGTAAATGTACTGAAATATTTGACCATACATAACCTACATTTTATATTTGAATATCAATGGTACATACCAGGTATATACATATAAAAATGTATGACTGTCATTAAAAATTAACATACATACATGTACATGTATATCAGCTGAAAGAACACTGATTTTGAAAGCTGGGTTTAAATCATAAAATATAGTTTAATGTATTTCATTCTCCAAAATATGATGATAATTAAAAAAAATTTACTGAAGCATTTAGAATCAATGAATCCATTAGTTATAGCCCAATGATAGTCATCAACACGTCAACATTAAAAGTATCAAATTAATACCAGTTTCTTTTCACAGTACAGCCAATAAAAATTTTTGCATTGTATCTAAAAATTAAAACATCATAATTACTGTGTATAGGAAAAAAAATCACAATAGCTATATAAAATAATAAATCAACAAGGATAACCTCACTTTCAAGAGTCGTTTCAAAACAAAAACAAAAAACTTTGGAAAAAAATTGTTTAGGTAAAGAAGTCTCTGAATTCACAAATGGATCAAGTTCATACTAAAGAAGCTTGATGCTGATGTAATACTTCATTAATGAAAGGGTTTAAAATGTCTAAGAAATCACAGAATTTTCTATATAAACCTTTACAGGCATTTGGCACACAGTCTGATTATTATCAGCCATTTGAAGAACATCCCATGACAAAAATTAATCATACATATTAGAAAATTTGTTGGTCTTCCTGTAAACAAAGAAATAGAAGAAAAAACCCATGAATTTCTTAATAAGCTCTTTGTGTAATTAGTAAATCTATACATGTATGATGGAGGAACAATACAATTTTACATGTAGTTTAATACATGTAATACAAGGAGTACATTTTAAACAAATTTTGAATTCTTAATATCACTTGTAAACAGCCTTATTTCATGTACATCTACTCATATGTGGATTTCTTGAGTAAATAGGTACAAAACAGTTAAGGGTACAGTGGTGTACCTGTAATATACTAGTATAATGGTAAAGCAATTCATAGGCATTTATTCTAATTGGCACAGCATGCAACTTGGTAATATTTTCTAATACTGGGAGTACAATATTATTCTAGTGTCATTTCTTCAGTGAGTTTGCCCATTTTCTGAGAATTTCACCAGCTGCTGCAATGGTTTCATCTTTCTGTAAAAAGAAGGGAAAAAAGTGTAAGTGTATAATTAAACTACTGTACAACTGATCTTCAAGGACTAATAATCCCAGAGGGCAACTAAAGAAGAGACATTCTTTAAGATAACTTAAAGAAGTTTAAGTTAAGAAGTTAAGATAATTTTACTTAAAAAAAAAATAACTCTGCCATCTTAACACATAATTGTACTGTGTTGAATACAGAAAATATCACAATCCATGGTCCAAGCATTTGCAGTCATGGACCAAAGAATATTTAACTTTTATTAAAGTCATGTGACCTTGACATTCTAAAAACAATCATGGCATGGGATCATTACAGAACTCTTGGTCATAAGCAACCTTTGTCTAAGTATGACCTCCTGACTTTCCTCCAATACAAAGTTTTGTCTTAAAGAATTTTGAATTGACACTTCTGGATGCAGTGACCTTGTTTTATAGAATTTAGAATTTGACACTTCTGAACTCTGCAACCTTGACCTTGTCTAAATGGACTATGTAAGGCTATGTTCAGTGAAATGATAATATCCCATGATCATAATCAACCTTGAGGGTAAGTAAGATCCTTGTTATTTCAATATTAGAATTTAGCAGTTCACACCCAGTGACCTTGACCTTGTCAAAATCACCATTTACACACTGTCTGGTCACACCAGAATTTGATAGCTTCAATACCAGGGGTATGTCAAAGTGACATATTTATGTATTTTAACCTCAAAATCTTGAATCCTTGGATATCTTAAAGTTTTTCCTCAGCCCCAGTTAAGGAAAATGAGGAATGACTGTTTATTCTACCAAGTTTGAAAAAAAAATTGAATAGTGTCACATATAAACTGCATATAGACAAAAAAATTTAACAGGCAGACAGATGGCCAAAGAGACAGACATACTGATTCCAGTATACCCCTTAACTTTCTTTGCAAGTGTATAATTATACAATTTTCTTCAAATTATATTCAAAACATGAAAGCAATGCCAAATTTTGAGAACAATATAAAATAAAATATTGAGCTTTATGAGGTACTGGTATGTTTTTAATTCAAGGGAATAGTTGAAACATGCTGATTATCATTATTGCAATTTTTTGTGTGTGAAGTATTTAATGAAATGTTGACCCTTTGAATTCAAGGTGTTATGAAGAAATTGATATAGCCTTTGGGGCCAGACATTTTCAAAATGATAATACTTATAAGATGAAGATACACTTGGTATACAGTACTCACTTTGATAAAACAGAATCGTATATAGTTTTCTCCTAGATGTTTGTGTTCCTGATGGTAGAATGCAGTTGGGGGAATGGCTGCCAATTTCTGAAAATATAACATTTTACAATTCTATATAATACATTGTACTAGCACTCATAAGGGAAGCAAGAGATTTTCAAGTCATTTAGCTCACCAGTTCTTTTGTCATCCATCTAATGACCTTGAAATCACGAGGATCATCTGTTCCATCATCAGGAAGATCTATGTCTGAAAAAAAAATTCCACTTCATTTTAAATATTAACACTTCATTCCTTATTATGAAAGATAAAATTTACAGTAAATAATGGATTTTTTTCATCAGTTCTAATCTTGAACAGCTTTTGCACATGTTTACATATCTCAACAAGAGGCCCATGGGCCACATCGCTCACCTGAGCACATTGGCTAGGAAAAAAAGCAAAAATCAGTACAGTATTGAAAAGTTTACAGGGAGGGGGGTGTTGAATTTTAAACTACCTGATGATGCTTTCATATCAATATAACAAATATCTTTGTTGTTCTTGAGCAGCAGATTTTTTTCCCATATATTCATTTGTAAAAATTTGATCCCTCATTGTGGCCCCACCCTACCCCCGGGGGCCCTCATTTGAACAAATTTCATTCTACACTACCGAAAGATGCCTCCATATCAATTTGACTAATCATGGCTTTTCTGTTCTTGAGAAAAAGACTTTTTCCTATATATTCCTCTGTAAACTTTGATCACCCATTGTGGCCCCAACCTATCCCCGGGGTAATGATTTGAACAAACTTGAATCTTCACTATCTGAGGATGCTTCCATATAAATATGACCAATCATGGCTTTACTGTTCTTAAGAAGAAGATTTTTAAAAATATTTTCCTATATATTTCTATGTAAAACTTTGATCCCCCCTTGTGGCCCCACCCTACCCCTGGGGGTTATTATTTGAACAAAGGACAAGATAGGCTAAGACCCCTTTTTGGCCCCCTGTTCGGGGTGTCTATTAAAGTGATGCAATAGTTTATCAGTTAAAAACCTGTTGTCACCCCTGCCATAAAATGAATATTGGTTCTAAGTTATGGGATACACACAGGTCACAGGAAGGTTGGAAAATATGCCAATTTCCGAATTTTCTCCTTTTTATGCAAATTTTCATCGATTTTACAGCACATTTTGGTTCAGAAAACATGGAGCACAAACTTGCCTATCTATCAAATTTATATATTTCATACACTAGTATCAGATGCATCTTATGTATAAAAATCTCAGATAGGCAAGCTTGTGCTCTATGTTTCACGCAGGGGTGTGCAATTAGCATCGCCCGACGCCCGGGGCTACCATTTTTTGGGGTCGGGCTAGTAGTTTTCTGCACAGAGGTAGCCCCTTGGGCTAGTAAAAATTAAAACTACCAATGTATCACTATCAGTATTTTCACCCATTTTTTGCTATTAAATTCTCAAGCAATGAAAAATTTTCGTCAGCATGCTCCTATTGTTTGTAAATCTCCATAATCTTATCCATTTTGCAGTACTACCTGACTTATTTACTTCCAAAAACGATCCTTTTTATCTAATCCGAATTTCCTCTATTCCTCTGTTTATGGTAAATACACATGCAAATATCTCATTAAATTATTTACGATCACTCAATCAACTGAAAGATAAGTGTTATGTGGTTTACATAAAATATATTTCCAGCGTATTTAATGATTTAAGATGAAAAAAAAATGATTGTCATTTCATTTTAGATAAGATAATTTATTTGAATTCATTTTTATTTTCCACATAATTATTGATTTATACATGATTTAATTTTACTAGTGAGAATTAAAAAGAATCACATTAAAACCCTCACTTTTTCAAAAATAATCTATTTTCTTTTAATATTAGTTGTCCCCCCCCCTTCCCCCTACATTTGGGCTAGTAACTTTTTACTTGGGGCTAGTAACTTTATTGCTGCCACTAGCCCGTGGGCTAGTGCCAAATTTTTTTAATTG